GGATCGCTTGAGTCACCTTTTGTGGATCTCTTTTAAAAAGCAAAGTTTTAATAAATTTTTTACGATAAAAATTTATCGTTTTCGAAATGAAACTAAATAAAAGCCTAAATTTGGTCATCATCACTTAATTGGACACTTACGGCGGCCATTGAAACTGGCATATAGGCTTTGAAGGGGGTATTGGAATTGGTCGACGGTAGAAGAGCAAGATTATACCTGAAAATTTTTTTAAAAAAGGGTCCCATTTATATAAAATTCACTTTTGCCAAGGTCTTTTGTGTGACGTTGTTAGTAAAAGTTTACCATTGTTGTTCTTGCCTCCCATTATTTCCACTAAAAACGGAAACATTTTTTCTCCAAAAATTTATATCAGAATGTGACTTGGGGAGATACCGGCTGTCTATTCAAAGTCATTTCAAAATGGAGAAGAAAGCCACTCTAATTGTTAATCGTGGAAAGCCTGGGGCCTTTTAAAGCGGCTCCGCACATCTGAACGGGCGCTTTTTGAAGGGCGGCCAACTAGACAGGACAAATCGTAAGGAAGAAAAAGCACAAGTAAGAAGAGCGTTCGGACACTCACCATGTTTCCGGTAATATCGTGGCAGGAACGCCTAAATAGAATTAAAATATGGCTTATACTTAAAAATGTAAGTAATGCATAGCCTGGCGTTCAAGGCAGTGAAAAAGATCCGAGAATTCTATTTTACAGGGAAGCAGCACCAAGAAACCTGCAAATGGGCACAATGTGATTATTCTTTTCAGACTAAAGAGAATGTTTTCGTATCAACTAGACACAAAATTGTGGATGTAACTCACTCCTATATTGCATGGTGTTTGCAACTTGAACGTTGGCCATTCAGTGAGCGAGCTTGAAGTAATTCCTAGGCGAAAAGAAAACCAAAAATTTCCAAAATATGCATCACCCTCACTAAAAACAGAAAGAAGTGCTTTATAAAGAATACTCAAAGATAGATTGCTCAGCAGAAAAAGACGTAAAATTTTAATGTATCTATAGAGTGGTGGCTGAGGAAGCGGTGCACATTTCTTCAAGACATTTTACAAACCAGGGCTACCAGCAAGAGCCCTATGGGTTCGCTCCCACATTTATGACCGTCAGAGAGACTACCTCTCTTTTGATTTCTTATGTAAACATTCCAAAAGACAGGTTTCATGAGGTCAAATCTTTTAATAGATGTTGAATGGGCGCGTTGAATGGCACCTCAGTTCATACATAAGAAGCCATTAGCTCCCGTCGGTTCTACACCGCCTTAAACTATGCGATGTGATTCCGTTCCTACACAAATTGTCTCTACTGTGTGTGTTCGCTGTCTCAAGGGTGTGTGCAAATGAAAGAAACTACTTTTGTATCCACCAGCAGTGCGGCTGACGCCCATCATTCCGTACCTCATTGGGGTAAGAGAACCCGCATTTTCCTCAGATTGGCCAGTAGCTACGATAAAATTATTTTTTCTGAGGTGCAGTAAAAAGGCACTCCGGTAAATGTATACATATCAAAAAGGAGAAGCCCTTCAGTAAAAATTTAAAAAGGGGATATCTCTTCAACTTCCAGTTTTCTTATGCTTTATCTAATCCTAGCACCCTCCGCTCATAAATAAGGACAGTCTACTTTTTTAGTAAAAATATAGCAAAGCGTGTTTGTAAAGAAAACGAATAAAGCTAAATTTAATTTAGGCGGTTAGTTGGACTTTGGCTAGTAACTACTTAAAGAAGCACTCTCAATATCAGTTAAACAAGCTGACCGTGACAGTTCACCAAAATCCCTCCATATTTCCATAGACACTCGAGTCGACCTCCCTTCTAGTAATTCAAACAAATCACTTCGAATGTGAGGATCACATGTGCACTTCTTATCTTGAGAGGCCCTTAATTCCTTGGAATGCCAAGATCCATGCTTTTCTTGGCTTCAAGTGCCAGTTACGAATTGTGTCACTCGAGATCCACCGCAAACTGCCTCAGTGCTCACCTCTCACCAAAGTAATTCGCTTAAATCAAATATTTTTGCGAAATAAGCCACAAACCCCTTAATGTTCCATTTTGACTAAAAAAAGTGTTTTGGAAATTTGGGATTTGCATTGAAATTTGAGATGCAGCTGTCATGAATTCCCAAATCTGCAAAAAATCACACGCTTCAGCGTAGGCGAATGGAACCTCTTTAAATCGGCTTTTCTTCGCCAAAAACCAGGATCTTGACCACTAAAGTGCTAAATTTAGGCGCGTTTTAGCTCTCGCTACTGAAGTAAGGCATGCGAAAGGAGGCTGGGCAAAATATACGAGAACCCGCAGCCGAGGCTAGAACTGGGTGCTAATGGACTGCCATCTTAACTTCAAAAGGAGGCAAATCTGCTTCCAGAAGTGGAGAAAGCAGTGCACTCATGTAGTGCCATTCGGAGAAAGGTGCTATTGCATCAGAGAGTGAATAGTGAGTAATCAAACAGTGAAGAGATGGTTGATCGCAGGTATGAATTCAATTAACTTCCAACCGTGTGGTTATTGGCACCCTGAGTGCTTCGGTGGTGCACTGAGGCCCTCCAAAATCTCGCAAAACGAGTTAATTTTAAGAGGATAGAGGCACTAACAAACTGCATATTATTGTCACTAGGAGGGATTGGGAGAAAAAGTACTTAAATATGGAAATATGTTCAAGGTAATTTCATCATCTAGGCATCAAAATTCACGAAAGCCGGAATAAGGAAAAAATGCGCTCTTCGGGGAAACAGATTATCTTATTATTGCATGAACACAACTTCATTGCATTCGTTTATTTTTAGAAATAAATTTACTGACTTTGAATTAGTATGAAGAATGAATAAAACAATAGAAACTGCGCAGTTTTTAATGTAGACGAGGCAAGGGGAATAGAGCATGACCTCATGGCGGGGGGAGAGCAGCGCCCGTGAGAGTGTATGGACTTACCACAGCTTGAATATTCCAACAACCGAGGAGGCACAAGGCGTGTGTTTGTGTGCAGTCAAGCGATTGCGGTGGAACGCGAATCCGTCAGGTTAGACACGATCTCCTGCGCCCTTCTACGCACCCACCCACGCACGCGCTCTCTCACGCACGGTCGCACAAACGCAGGCACGCAGAGGTGGTAGTGGTGGTTGCACTAGGGGGACCTCGCGGCTGCCACATCGTATAAATCACCGATCCGGGCCGATTATACCTTTAATCTCTCCCTCCCCCACACATACACACTCGCATGCTTTACCTGTGTAGCCACATATCATTACTCTTTCTTGTTTTATTCTCATCAGACACTTCGTGCTTTTCATTGATAATTCCCATTTGGAGATATCGAAAGACTTTGTAATTAATTAAATATAAATTAACCCTGGACCTGGCTATTTCCTCCGCTGAGTCTGACCATCCATTCGCTAAACAAATATTTTGGCGCATTGGAAATAAGTTTTCTTTCCCGGATTGCTAATGAAGCCGAAATAACAATTCAGTAGATTTTGTGAAGACCATTCCCTTACGAGCTGCTGCTTAATCAGAAATATAATCCTGATGCAGCAGGAATCATTCGAACTATGCTAAGATTTTTGCTGCCTTAGATGCCAACTGCAAGGATGCTATGATCACATTCATTTTAAGTGCAGCCCCATCTTTTCATATTTAACGCATTGGCTACCAGCACCAGACGTTCATGACACGACTTTTTCGCCAACTCACATGCTACACTTGTGTGACACAGTAAATTAAAAGGGAATAAACTAGTATGAGAAATAAAAGATGATAAAAAACGCCTCCACCGAGGTGCTCGGCTCGCCTCGGAGTCAGGCCCGTGTGGCAATTGCTTTAAAGCAGATAGGAAAAAAGATTTTTGCTAGTCAGGAGTATCACGCTTACCCGGCTAGTCTGACTCATCGAATTGTTACTCCGCCTGGTATTCAGCCTTCCGGACCTTCCTACTGAAATCGGGAAGGTCACCATGCTGACAGTACTCACGTTCATGAGGGCTCTGTGGAGTGCCCTGAAGTAACGTCCGCAGTTTCGGCGTCTGTGGTGAAAGTGCTATAGTAGGTGACTGTGATTTTAGGTATATGTCCTGTGTGGAGATCGGTGGAAGCATGTGCGCTACACGCATTCTTGCTGCCTAAACTTTCTCAGCAACAATGATTTCTTCTAGGGAATCTATGACATACTCTGTGAATATTTTCAAGCATGCAGTGACATGGCTAAATCATACATTCATTATTGCCAGTGCCCATTTTGGTTGGTCAAATTGTGGATTAATATAAGAAAAATGCAATGCATACTTGCATTCTAATCGTAATTTACTAAAAAAATTTGCTTTTTGTTTTCTAGAATTCACTTTTATTAGTGAACACTTCCAATTTGAGCTCTCAGAGCCACCAAGTTTGTACCACCATGACGGTGGTCACTGAAAGACAATTTAAGAGTCCCAAGGATTTGCCTACTTTTGATCTTGAGAGAACTATGATTAGGAATTAACGACACATTCATGAAAGCGCGCACCTATCTAAACATAGCTTCGGCTCCCTTCACAGAATGGACCACAATTTTGCAAAAACCATCTTTTGCAGTATTCGTTGCAAGAACACATGTTCCATACTCCAAAATAAACTTCATTTTTAACAACTTTCTTGTTTTAATTAAGTACAGCCTCTTAAGATGCTAATGCTGTTCAAAATTTCATAAATTAAAGCGTTATTCATGCACATTTGTAACCTCCTAACTGCTCCCAAATTTTTGTAGAAATATTCCACTAGTTATAAAATAAATAGTTTAATCGCTTTCCCTTTAATTAATGAACTCCATTTCATTTTTATTCAACAAGGTGAATTTTCCTGGTTCCCACAAGGCCTGAAGCCTTACCAAGTCCCCGCCTTCGGTGCCTGAGAAAACCTACTTTTAGTTAATAAGTAGCAAGAGGCTTAAGATGGGCCAAATATTGTGCAGGAATAAAAATGATCGTTGGAATAGCACTACCAGACGCAAATCATTTTCTACCAGAAAATGAGAAAATTTGACATTCTTTAAGTGAAAAAAAGATGGAAATGTAATTATTTCTGGCACTTTTGTTTGCAATTTTTTGGTGATGACTATGCAGAAAGCGTTCTTAACAGTCGATTTTTTGATTGCAAAATTCCTTTTAGACATGTTTTTTTAAAAGATTTCATTGACAAGAGATGAAAAGTTAAGATGCGCATTTTGCTCGTCTTACGTTTCCCCAAAACTGCTATCAAGACAAGGGCTGTCATTAGCACAAATTAAAGCTGCGATGGCACAAACTCGAGGTAATTTTACATCATTTGAATTTACTCCGAGATAGAATAAGCGATAACACTAAAAAATCCCTAAAAAATTCTTTTAACTCCGATTTTAAATTAGTTCCTCCATTAATGCAAACTCACTCACCTCACCTTCTCTTCAAAATCACATCTTTTTGTAATATTTTACAACTAGATCATCAATCCCTAATAAAATCTCACGTCTTGAGGCGAAATTTATGTTTTCATGGTTTTTAAAGGCTTAATTTATGAAAACCTCTCTTTAGCCGCACAACACTATTCATTAACTTAAAATGTACCGAAGACTTCTTTGACAAAACGGGACTTACTCACGCCTCAACACTATGCCAACGAGGTTTGCTACTAGTTATTACCAGGGTCTGCAATCAAAGCACCCATAAAACCATTTTCATTGTCAAATAGGGGAACCAGCGCATTATTTCCAAGCTAAAACTTGGATTTCTCCTTGGTCTTCGCCTAATGGGACCGCCCTTTTATTCTTGTGCTTGGTGACTCTAAGCTAGTATTTATCTGCAACTTCATATGGTTCCAACTTCTCGCCGCAGAGGAGTTTCAGTTGACGCGCTTTTGCTATTCCCCTGAGCTTGCGTCGGCCCTAAGAAACAGTGCAATCCATCGCCTTTGGTGGGTTCCTTTACCCATAAATGGAGGTTCTTCTTTGAAGTAAGACTCATCCATAATTGGAATTCAACCCCATTAAAGAAAATTAACTAATTTTAATGGTACAAACCACAATTTTCTATTAATAATCTACTAAACAGATTTTACCGGTGCATGCATGTGAGCATGTAGACACTTTGAAGCCTTCATAAATAAATCCGGCTAAATTTCTTCATTTGCATCAAGAGTGTTTTTGCTTTTTAGTCGCTTTTTAATTAAAAAGCTAATTGATTCTGACAAGTTGGTTTATAAAAAATGCATTTCTTGATTGGTTAGTGTGCCAATTTTATTGCATCAGTACCGCGCAGTGGCTGAGTTGCCTCGGAGGACCTTATGCTGTCCAGATTCTGAAAGTAGCTTTGTTATAAACACATTCACGGGGTAGTGAACTACTGGAGGAGACTGAAGTCGACTGGGTAACAATCTCCTTGCATCAATCAGGTCAGTCTCATGAGTCGTCCCACTAACTTTTCTTATAAAATTAGTACTATGCACCAATAGTCAAATCTTGCTAAAGACAAACCTGCGACCCACTGCTTGGTTATTTGATAAGCCACACAGTTTTAAACTACATTTGAATTGTGAATCAGATCCCGTGTCGTCTTCTAAAGAATGCCTCTGAGCTCTATAAAAAGTGGACATCTCAATATGTTTCTCGGTTTCGCCTCCTTTAAAGCACCCACAGTATTTGACACTCACGTTCATTGTCTGAATCAGAAAAAATATAACAAAGCGAAAAGGCACCCACTTATTATAAAATCAAAGCATATAAGTTCTAGCAATTCAGGTCCTTATGAGCAGTCGTTTGCGCTAATGAGACAAGTAAAATACATAGAGAAACGCATTTAGCCTAGACAAAAGGAGAAGGAAAAAGAGAAATTAGTGAATAAAGTGAGAGATGTGTGCTGGGTGAGGAGCAGCTAGAAAAAGACGGAGTAAAGTCACTGGTTATAGGGCGCATCGTATCAATACAATCCTCTGCGGAATCCACCGCCCACTTGCTGCTGAGGCGGCGGTGGTGGCGGAGGCGGCGGTGGTGGCGGAGGCGGTGGGGGTGGTGGGGGCTGTGACCCCGGGTGGGTCGATCTCTCTCCTCCGCCGACCTCAAATCGACTTGCCATGGTTACGCGTTCAGACGCTCTAGCGCCGCCGCATGGCATCGTGGCGTTTACTTTTGGTTGCGCCAGTGACGATGGCGGTGACTGAGGCTGACTGAAGCCTCTCGCTACGGGTCGAAAACCATGAAAATCGTCCTCGGACTCGCTGGACTCCCTTGACTGATTCATCTGCTTGCGACGTCGAGCGACTGCAGCTTTTAGGGTCTCCTCAAAACTGTTCTCATTGGGTGCGTATGGTGATTTGAATTTGGACGGTTTGGACGCAAGGGAGGTGGTTTCTTCGTTCTCTGAAGCCTCCAGTTTTGCAAGCACGGAGGCTAGAAGAGGATTGACGGCGCCGTTGGAGTTGCGAAAGAGTGGAGGCGGTGAGGGGATAGAAGGTTTTGGCTCCATGGGTTTCGTTTCATCGTGGAAGTTTGAACTATTTGTTGGACGACGTAAACAACTCTTCTTGAGTGTCAGAACACCATTAAAATCGACAGACGGGCTTGGTGCTGATGAAAAGCCATTTGCTTTCTGAAGAAAAAGGAGAAGTTAACTTATTTTTATCCTCGCTTTCTTTCGGATAGGCCCCTACTTCATTGATCGCTATCGCCGAAGAGTTATTAGTGTAAACAAACGTGTTGTGTTTACAAATAAATATTCCGTGTTTTTGAGGACGATCATAGTTCCTGTTGCTAAGGCGTCCAAATGAGCTCAAGGTTTGTGAGGTACGGTGATTTCTTTGAAATAACACACTTCCTCAAATTCAATTCTATCCAATGGCGTTAAAAAACAATAACCAGAATAGCGGCTACTAAATGGGAAGGTCACTAAAGGTATTTTACGATGTTGTTCACTACGCCAATGTAGCGATCATGCAAAATCGTTTCCCACTGGTGCGTTTCTAGTTGCCAAAGTGATAGGGTGGTTTTAGTCATTACTCGGTAATTTTTAGGTGTTGACTTAAAACCGCCTGACTAAACAGTTTGTTTAACCGCCTCTGCAGGATGTACTCCCCATTCTACCGCATGGCCTTCGGATCATGATGATAGTCTCCTAGCTCTTCACCACGTTAGTAACACAGGTGCTCATCCACACCACTTTGGTTTATTACGACCTCGAGAAATGGTCGGGGCGCTACGCAACCCCTACAATTTACTGATCAAGTGAAAGGTCATTCGTGAGTGATTATAAATAAATATTATTATTTAGGCCAGGGGTCTAAACTTACGACGTTCAAAACATGAGGAGAAAATTGAAATTGATATTAGAAACAATTTATAGCAAGAAAGAAAGTCCAATTATTTAGCTAAATCTTTTGTTTATTTTTGTCCCATTTACGCTGCTAAAATAAATACTAATTAATTAATGGGTCCTCTTTAATGCCCTTCTGGTATAAGAATTGGAATTTTCACACAGAGCAACGCGACGATTTTTACCAAGTGATTTCCTCCAAATTAAGTGGAGGAGTTTGGAATTCCATTCAGATTGTTAACGTGTTAGACGTTTAAAAGTAGACAAGCAAGATTGTTTTAGCACGGACCTCTACAGGGTCTTTTTATCATTTCCTACAACTGGCAATCTATTTAACCTACTGCAAGTTAATTATTATTTCCACAATTATTTAATCAAAAGCTCTTTTCTTATGTCAAGATGTTGTATCTAAAGCGTGCCTAAGATGATGAAAGTCCAAGTGTATAGCTCTCCCGATGACACCAAAGAGCCAAGTTTTCAGGAGTCAGCAGATTTAGGATTAAAAGTCACTAGTGGCCGGTATGCTTGCTTTGCCCATCACTTACCATCTGACCCGACAACTACTTAGGGTGGTTAAGGTGACTTCCGTCAAAATTGGACCCTCTTCTGCAGCAACAGTTTGAACTTTTCGGAACTGGCAGCTGACTTCAGCCTGTTGGCAATTGCTCGATTAGTGGGTACTAGTGGGCAGGACTTTGACACGGCGAACCTCCCATCACTGCATCACTGTTGGATGTAACATTCAACTTTCTCAGCTTCTCTTTTTTGGTGAGTTTTTGGTAAAATTTCAAAAATGACGGCAGATATTGCAGTTCCTAACTATTTAGTGTCGTAAAAGAGTTTTTCCTGAAAAAAGCATATGGTTTCTTACAAAGACGCAAAATAGAACAACTTTATCACCTTATTCGCCGTATAAGCAGCTACAAATGCAAATACAAATGGGTGCAACGAGGTGCTCAAGACTTTTAGATTATTCTAAAATTTATCAGGAACCATCTAAGAATAGAAAGTGCTTATTGCAAGAAACAAAACCCAAAGTTCTCCGCGATGAATATTCCTGTCCAGTGCGATTCCTCTTATTCGGCGTCAGTGCCCACCGTATTTTTGTGAAAAAAATGGCAATTTCGCCTGTAAGTCTTAGTGAATTTGTTTGCCAGCACCGGGGGAAGAAATAACACACAAGTTCATTAGATCAATTGCGCATATTTCTCACTAGTGGACCGTGAAATTGGTACCAGGTAAATTCACATTCGAAAATCCGCCTCCACTGTCAACACAACAGCGAGCTGACCTTGCCGAAGTCACGCACTTTCCACTGTCTACTGGCTAAAGTTTGATTTCCTTTTTTTACCATGTTTTATCGGGGCCCGTTGAAATTTGTTACGCGTCTGACTTTCAGCATGAGAAGTAAACCCTTTCACTGGCCTTCAAATCCCCAAAAGTTGGCAAATTTTGTAACCAATATGTGTTTACGATGAAAAGAAATAAGCTTTTACTACATTGTAAATTGTCAAACTATTCCACAATTTCATGCATGCCTAATTTTTGACAGTGCGCTAAGAAAGGACCTGCAGCAGTCATAAGGGGAGCGCTCTTGTTTATACGTGGTGTCACTTGGACAGGAGCGTAAGTTCTACTTCGTAAGAAAGTCCGTGAAGTGAAAAATAATGTCTGTAAAAAAGTTTGTGAGAGCAGTCGAGGCCACAAACAATAGTAAAAGCACGAATGTTTTCGTGCTTTGTTCAGCCCCGTCAAAAAACACTTGCACATTTTTGTCGCGTGAATACCGCTTTCCTACCGTAAATATTGTGAAGGCGTGGATAAAAGACTTTTATAACTGGAAAAGTGGCTAATTGAAGTATTTTTCTGGGCTCTCATAATTAAATTATTCCTCAAAAGAGGAAATAACAGGTTAGTCCAAATTTTACTAAGTTATTTCCTAATTATTAGAAAAAGTAAAACAAGACTTTACCTAAAAAACCTGCAAGTTCAAAGGAACTGCCCTTCATAGCGAATATTTTGTCATTGTGATCCACAGATTTAGCGAATCTCTCCTGATGTCCCATGAAATCCACCACGCCATAAGCAAAAATAATGCCCTTCACCCCAACTGATAAAAAGATGGTATCTTTGGGAAAAAAGGAGTCACTTGTGACTCAATTGATCCACAGTTCACATTTATTTTTAATAGCCAGGTACACTTCACCTGACAGCATTCACCAGCCAAACCTGAGTGTTTTCTGAGGTGAAAATTGAGGCTTCCATCAAAATGGAATCAATGCTGAAAAAAGCTGATTAACTAGTGCAAATTTCTAGCTGGATGTTGCCAATGAATGCTCCAACCTGCGTAGTGAATAAAAGTGATACACAAAACTCATAAAATCGGCGGTTTACTATTAAGGGCTAACATAAAGGTAGTAACCGGAAGTTCTTATGTGCTTAATTTAGTGATGGTCGCAGTGCCAGTCAAACAAGTGAATTTTACGAAGAGGTGGAGAAAAAAATTATATATCTTCGGGAATGAAAGTAGCTTATAAAATTGGTACCATCTTGGCCATTTCAAATACCTCAAAATAAAAGCCAAATAATCAATTTACCTTAATATTACAAGCCGAGGGAGGTGGCGGGGGCGGTGGAGGTGGGGGTGGTGAGGAAGTGGGGATTCCTACGGAATTCTGTGGGACCAGTCTCCTTGGTGTACTCTGGGTAGAAATGCAACACAAAATTCGGGTGAGTGTCAAATTAAGATTAGGTTCTTCATTAAAAATGTGTGTAATGAGTCTCCTCTTACCCCCTTAATGACCGAATCCACCATACTGTAGGAATATTCGTTTCCACTCGTGGGCTTTGAAGGTGAGGGGACAAAGTGTGATTGTGAATTGTAGGTACCATCACTTGTGCCGCCATAAGAGAAGGATCTCTGTTCGGAGTTATTGGATCGCCGAGTAGTCTAGTATAACAGAATTTGCATGAGATAGGGTTCCACATGAACGGCCTTACGTAAGTGTAAGTCAACTTCTAGGTACTCCTTTAAAGGTTATAATCTCGACAGTTACTTGTTGCCAAATAAAAGTGGCTTTCAAGCCTGTGTTTATCATCCACTAAAATCCTTAATGGATCGCACTATCTGTGGCTTTTATTAATAATTGTAAAAGCAGTTAACACCCACAATAGAAATAATGGGACTCTACTGTCATGAGTATCAAAAACTCAAAAAGTCAAGGCAATGTTTATTTCAAAAACTGAGAAGATATCTTAAAAAGTAGTATTTATATACGAATTTGTATAGTTTGAATGTGGGTCTTATCTACTCATTTTCTTTAAGTAGATGCCCCAAAGCATTTGTATCTTCGAAGAGAAGCAATGGCGTCAAACACGAACCATTCAGAAGACGTCATTGGAAGATCAACAAATATATCAACCCGTTGGACTTCCCTCAAGTTGTAATTAAAAAGTGGGAAGAAATGTAGAGGATGGCTTTTACAAAGTAACTTAAAAACCGGGGTACAATTGTGTTGGCAAGTCTAACTGAAGGAGATTCAAGAAGGTTCCAAAGTACTGCATTTGCATTGCATGTCATAAATCTCGTGTTTATAGATCTTATTTTTGACCACATTCTGGCTGTTTTATGGAGATACGACTCCCATCTTTCCTGCACCTAACAAAACCTACTAAGCAGTGGCGTCTCTTTGTCTTGCCTCTTAAAAGTATATAGAGCACTTATCTTACCATAAATTTGTTTTCGGGAATTGCAGTTGTTAATTAAAAGGCTAAACTTCTCCAGTTTCACTAACTTACATGCTTCATGGCAGCTTATTAGTTACCTTAGTGATGTCTGGTAAAACGACATCCTAAGTAGCATTGGGCGTATTCCTCGAAAACTGCAAATTCATCCCTACTCGTAGAAATTCTTCATCGTTTTCCCCTTCCGTTTTGGTAGTTTTGCCGCCAGCATTAATGCGGCGTGACGGAGTGCACCCTAAGCGATGACTTGTCAAGCAACGTGACATGCAGTCCGCCGGATCGGACAGTCGACAATACGGATTTTAGTTGTTTTTTACAACATTTAGCAAACATTCAGACAAAATTCCAGAATACATGTTTACAATGCGCCTTCCAAGGGTTCACATTCAATGGTATATAACCGTGAGGTTACTTAGAATGACTTTGCTTGAGCTTCTAACAAATGGTCTACGGACCTCAAGACCACAGTTCTACATAGAGAAGTAAAAAGAGGACTTTTTAGTTAAAAGATTACTTCTTCCCAAAAGAACGACTTTTTGAGGCAGACTCCACAACTGTGTTTAAGCACGCTGTTGTTTCTGAAGTCTGAAATGCGAAATAAAGCACCAACCACAAGATTAACCCACACAGTACTATCAATTCCCTACTCAAGCGCTTTCTTGGCAGTCAAAAGTTCTCTTCATCATTTGTCATCCATTCAGAGCTTTCTTTTGTTGGTCGTAACAAAAGTCGGTGCCCTGTTTGGATCCCACACCCATGGAACACTTACTCCAAAAGCGCCGGACTCCCGCGAGGACGTCCGTTGACCAAACTCGGAAGTGCTTTTTACGAAGGAGCCACTTTTGATTAACTGAGGCGACATCGGAGTGCCTGCGAGAGAGTTGTAGCCCCCTCCTCCTCCACAGGGTCGACGACCCAAAGTGGCGTATCCACCGTCAGCGACTGAGATACCTGAAAATTAGCAGTGTATTTTCGTCTTTATTCATGCGTTTGTTTGCAATACAGTTTCAGAATGTTAAGGTAGGTGGCATGAGTATGGCTTCGTTGGAAGGTTATCTGTAGGCACCACTGAAAACGCTTTACAACCTCCACTCCTAAAGAGGCCGAATCTTGCAAAGGGCGCATAGACTGCCCCACGTGCTTTAAAGCCAAAGTGGAATTCAGCTTTACTTTCATGTCCTCAAGGGCTCTTTCGACGTGCAAACCCATCAAAATTGCTTTCGTTGGGAGAATGAACTAAAAATTTATAGAGGCGATTTATTATGCACCAATGCAAGGCCAAAGGCCAAGTACTTAATGGTTTGAAACTTGGGTCGGCACTTTTAAGAAATTAAGCAAACTGGAGCCAAATTTGGTTTTTCCTCTGACTGAATTGGACTACGTGGTTTTTCTCCTAAAAATTGGATTTAAATTTCAAATTTTTGACTGCAAAATAATCTCATCCAAGTCAAAACGTCTCCGCCCAAACCCCAAAAATCCCACCGTAGTTTCAGGTGACATTTACCCCAACAAAAGCATAATATTTACTTCTGTGCATTAAATTCTAATAAAAAAGTTAAGTGTTGAAAAGTTGTAGCCAATGTTCCTTTCGCCGTTCACTTCAACGCTTCTCCTGGTAACCCCTCAACTAATTCTCCTATTCGTACATAACTACGACTCACCACCCCCTTAGCTGACTTACGGGTTTATTTCCTAAATAAACAGCATCTTCCATTATCTCTAAATCTTTAAAAGTGTCTGCAACTGTGCGTGAAAGCTCAGGGCGGGCGTTTTGGGTCCGTTTTAGATTGAGTTGACTTCCCCATCTGTCGAGGCCCACTTGAGCTGGCATTTCCACTATGGCGGACCTATTTTAAAAAGTCAAGGGTGTTACCCAGTCTGTGAAGCAGCAGCAGTGATACTCAGGGGGTGAAATCAGCCTACTCTTCTACATTGACAATGAGCCCACGCGACATTTGATCCCATTTCCACAGTAGGTAGTCACTTGCCGCCTTGGCGTTTTAAACAACTCAGGTGCGTAAAACTATAGGTCAGAAATTATGGGACATTGTATCATTGTTTAGTTCCATTTCATCGCTGACTTCAACATTGCTCCGCCTTTTTTCAAAAAAGTATTATGCGAATAATTTTGGAGCCAACACCAAAGAGAAACCTCTCAACGCACCTTCTTCACTTATTAATGCACTACTTATTTGCAAACAAATCGAGATTTGTGCGTGCTATGGGGTTAATTAATCCATTTCAAATTGCTCCCCACAAACTGTGGAAAGACTTTCGCAAGGAAGCAGAGGCTTATAAAAATTAGTGTTTTACGTATTCCGTCTCTAGAAGGGAAAAGGTCCACCCTAGATAACTTCAATTCTTATACACTTCTATTTCGTGCCCTTTTTGAGCGAGGCCACCTAATATCATAAAAGGGCGATAATCACTTTGGCACGAATTGGGGCACGAGATCCCGCGTTACTCTATGGGGAGAGGACTTCCTTTCCTTCTTCTAGTAGAGGATTTTCGTGCACACGTCCAAGCAGCATCGAGTAGAAATTAGCTTTACTTGTTGAACCTCTGCAGGAGAAGCTCGGCTAATAAACTAGTCCTCAATTTACCTGCCACACAAAACAGGAATAGTCTTCTGGGGATGAAGTGGGGGGTGCCTTAGAAGTGTGGGTTAATTTAGGGGTGGTTTGGGGATGGCCGGCGATGCATTCGTTCGCTTAAGGAAAGTTGCATTGCAGAAGTACGAAAAGCATTCCTCATCACTCGTCAATTAGCAAACAAATGAGGCGTCTTCTTCAGGTTAAATAAATGAAGAACAAATCGTTTCGCCGTGAAAATCACTATTATTCGTTAATGCCTGTGGCACTTATTTGCCTAGCCTCCACTATGACCTCTGCCTTCCCTCAAGTCAAGCATTCTAAATGGCATTTCGGCACGTTCATCTCGATTAGTTCTTATCAAGAGAAGCATTATTATCAAGAACAGAAGTTTTTCCTAAACAGAATGCAGCTGCCTTTGAGTTTATCATTGCCATGATCACGCAACCGCGAAACCCTTCTAAGCGGTTTGTTTTGCCGCCGCACCTTCTCCAAGTGCTGTGCAAATATCCTAGCAAAATCCCACATCGCTGGAACAAACTTTAAATTCGATTTTAAAGTTTAAAATTGGAGAAAAGTAGGTGAGGGGGCATCGAGGTGTCTAAACTATATAATGAGTGGAAACAAATGCATATATTTTAAAAGTTTCCATATCTTCGCTCTGAAAATTATCCCATCTTGAAATGGATAGGAAGGCTGACAATTACTTGCTCACAAATGGTTCAAAGAACCAGCAGAAAGATTTCCATAAAGGCTTAATTAAGGCGATGGAAACAATCACTAATGTTTTCCTTCAAGAAGTGACAGGAAGACTTCCAGTGATATTCTAGTTTCTTAAGTTGAAAAGCTATTTGGTTATTGTCGAAAAATGACAGTAAACAAAGTTTTTGGGCCCAACCTTTGTGTTTATGGAATAATGACAACTTTACCAGAAGCACCACCATATTTTTTTCTAATGTCTATTCCTCCGGAACCGTAGTCTTGATGTAATAAAAGAATTAGGTGTGGTTTACTTTCCAAAAACTCTCCACCACCTTTTACTCGTCTAGACTTTAAGTAGCCCTTGAGGGCAAACAGTTTTACCACTTTCGAGATTGCCGAAGCCTTTGTTTGGACATTCATTCTTATCCGAGTGTAAAGTGACAACTTTCAGCGAGAGCATGTCACCGGAGTCTCGAATAGCTTCTACCACTTCTTGATGCGATAGTGTGGCAACGTCGATGCCGTTCACCTAGAAACCAAAAAAAAACAACCACTGAGATATGAAAGTCAGCATCCACAAAATCATTATTATCACATGGCGCTAAGTGGAATTGGCCCTGTGAGGCAGTGATGCATGACCCAAAACTAAAACCTCCTTCATTTGGTCTAGCAATTGCGTTCAAGATGGCAAAATTTGTCGCATTTGGCTTTGTAATTTAAGATTTCATTAATATGGAGTGACAGGATCAAGAAGAGGTGATTCCCGAACTCTATTAGTAGTTAGAACTGACCAAAGAATTTTTAAAAGCTTTCCGGGAAGTGAAAAGGACTTTTCCAATCCCATTCAAGGAAAACCAGATCCATATTATTTACAAGTGAGGCGTTACCTCGAGAATGAAGTCATCTGGCCGAAGGTTTGCACGGTAAGCGACATTATTTTCCTCCACATGGCCCAAATAATGCAGAGAGGGTATCTCATCTGTCGGGACGAATATGCCTCCCGTTGCTATGAATTTACGCAAGGAGATTATTTCTCTTGAGTGTTATGTCCTACTAACTCACAGAAGCAATGCTTACCTCTTTTACTTTGAACCACAAACCCATAGCCACGACAGCCCTTCTGGAGAACGGTTACTCTTGGCAGATATCGAGTGTCAATGTTTCTACAAAGGAAGGTCGACAGTGTAGTTGCAGCCGATTCTCCGCCCACCGCTCCTAATCAACCTTATTCGTTCAGAAGGTCTTCAAAAAAGGCATCTCATGCCACCATATTATACCGGTGCACGGGTCTTTTCATTCTCCTATTATTTAATTCCAGTGGAGCGTCATGGATTACGGTTCGTGACATCAATATCGGCATTTTTTCCTTGACGCTTCAAGGAAGGCTCAAGCTGGATTGGATGGGGTGGTTTATAAGCTTTGGATTAATAGTCAGGATTTCACCTACTTGGAATGGTTGGGCCTGTAAGGACTCACCATGGGTAAAATACAAAAGCCATGTCACTATTTTGCAACCTTTCCTATTTCACGTCCTACACCGCTGGCATCAACGGAGAGAGCTCGCCACTAAATGATTCGAAATCAGCCTTGAACAAAATTACTTGGATTCCCTTCACCAACAAACGAACTAGGATTGCAGTCAGAAAATATGGAACCTTTCTGCGTTGAAAAGGTTTGGCAGCAGTCCAAATAGCACTACCTTATGGGGAAAGCCACCAGAACGAATTTTCAAGATGCCACTTTATTGTGCAGTTCTCACTAAATAATCTTAAATTTATGCCAATTTGTCTTCGTTAAGCACTCAACACATGAAGCCCGCCTGATTTAAAACAACTTCTACCCTTAAATCATACAGATCAACAGCAAAATATTAGCTCAAATGAACCCCATTGGAGTCATTGAGATCGGTGGATTTGAAGGTCGCCTCAATGGTATTCGAAAATCGAGGCAAAATCTTCATGTACTTTGAGTTACTGGAAAACCGACGTGAGGCAATGAAAACGCGGAATGAGTTCGCAGGCCCTTTTTCCCAGACGACTCAACCCAAGCGCAGGTCTAATCCTGCCACCTAGGCTGCCAGTCTTCCAATCCTCCTGGTGCAGGGGGAAAACCTAATTCTGTAACCGCATATTCAGCAACGCCTTCAGAAGTAACTTAGCCACCAAGGCTAAACCACCTCACCGCCTACATAAAAGCGCGCTTAAAATTTACGCAAAATTGAATAATTTATCATATTATTTACTGAAATCGTAAAGGAAGGATCAACCCCAGATGTCAATCTAGATGTCTTGTCGGTCCACTGACCGCGTTCACCATTAGCTCTTTTACCAGTTCGACTGCTTTACAAAAAGTTAAAAAGATGAAATTCCTCTTAGGTCATGAATACCTTACATCTGTTTCAATGCTTTCAGTACAACCAATCCATCTTCAGGAATGATTCAGTGCAATTAGCGGTCGTAAGGTGCCAAAGAGCACGAATTTGTGCCACCGGGTTCCGATAAGAAGACTGGGGCATCAGCCAGTGGTTGTGTTAAGCAGGGCTTTTTGAGCCTGTCGTACAGATGAACTACACTTCTCTCTCCTGCCCAGGTAAGCCGCACATTTCAACCAAGTGTCACGAAGTCCCCACATGCTTGGCAATTTGTGTCGAGGGTATGAGACGGAGCTAGAGGTAATAAACTCTACACTCTTTCCACTATTGCAGTAAGGAGGCAGGAGCGGTAAAACGCGTGACCTCCGTGACCTCAGGCTGAACCACACGTATTTCTCGCTCATCACTGGGTAGCATTGGCGCCCCAAGCTGCGCTTAACACTGGTTGGTTAGGTGATTAGTATAGGCAAATTGATGACTCTATTTAGCTGCTTTTTCACTAATCAACATCATTTCAGGTATTCAGGGAGTGAGCTTAGAAAACTGTTGGTAGAATACTACAACCAATGCTTCTTCAACCTAGCCGAATCACGACTTTGGTTCAGGAAGTTTTAAAAAAATACGCGCTTCTCTTCTCATGGGAGAGCATAAAACTCCGTATGCTTCTTTAAAGAATTAATCTGGTTTTAACTGTGGATACCGGAAGAATACTCAAATCCCGTGACTCTGGGAATTTGAGTTTTGGTTTTCCAATTGAACCTGTGGGTATGAATTCTGCATCACTTTCGTAGAAAATAAAAGTAACTTTTATCCCAAAAGTACCACCAATGGTGGCCCATGGTCAACATTTGCAGTAACTAATCCGCTAGTAATATATAATACTTCAATTGCTTGGCTAAGTCTTCGTTTTGGTTACGCGGATACCGAAGGCTCCGCTGTTAGACTTCCGCTTGGCAGCACGGCTCACGGATCACCCCAGTGGCCCCTGGATTCCTTTCTGTCCTGGTACAGACTTCTTTCGACATTAGGAAAGCCGTAGAGCACCACAAACATCGCTGAGATGGGTTTCATAAAGCGAATTCATTACTTTCAGCATCGTCTGTTTCTATTGTCAAACTAGAACAATGAACTCATTTTAATGCAACCATTAAGAGATGACAAACTCCATGAACACCTTTTTCCCGCTGAAAGTACTTGAGATCCAGACGAAGCGGATCTCCAACCCAAAAACCCTCTTAGCCTTTTCTTTTTTAAACCCAAATTCCCAACTCAAGCCTGAAGCGAACGTCACAGCGTCTCAACGAATCATGTTCTCATTCTAAACACCGTGAGTGATTAAATTTGAGGTGAAGATAAATTGCTCATTCAGGCAGGAACAGGTCCAGCAGAGCATGACTAACGGCGGGGCTGCCACATTGACCGGCTGAGGCCACCACTACCACCGCTGCCAGCGAGACACGCAGTTCACATCCACTTGTTGACGAATGCATGCCTCTCGGCTTCAAACCGGAAACCAACGTCTAGTAGCAGTGGTAGTAGTAGCGACAGTACTCGGCGCAGTTGTTTGCCGGTATAGCACCACATGAGGAAAAAGGAGAACAGCTATTCCAAGCCAGATTCAAACACTACTTTGCCTTTGAGGTTTCGGAAATACACGTATGACCACGAAGTTTCCATTTTGATGCTTTTTGACCATCTCTTTCTTGTGGTCGTTGAGTAACCTCTTTATCATGCAGTGTGGGGCATCCCGATGCGGTGTAAGTTCCATCCTCTTACCGACATGACAATATGCCGCCAAAGTAAGACTCTATTAAGTAGTTACAAGTTTTCGCGAATTAGGGATTTCAAAATCTCCTTGATCAAACACTGAAAAGGTCAAAAATTAGGCCTTGTCTAAGGGAACACTGATTTTGAAATGAGGTTTGTTTAGGCTTACTTATGGACTTCATTAGTGTTCAGATAACTTGAGCGGTTGCTTTTGACCTAACCCAAAGACCTTTTTTATGCCGAACTCCCTGTTACATCGAAAAACACTTGTCAATCTCTAGACAGCTTATTTTAAGTGCATTAAAAGGGAAAAGAACCACAGCATTATTATTAGTAAAGGTCAAAATCTAGTTCAAATGACCCACTATTAAACAAATTCACCATGGATACCTGATTTTCTATCAATTGCAGGTAAAGAGAATTAGCAACTGAGTCTATTGGACAGATGGTCAAATCGTTTTTCAGTAAATTATTTCATTGTGCCAAGGATTCGTTTCACCAAAAAACCAAATACCATAAACAGACCACCGCTGCTGTCTTTTCTTCAACCTACTAGTGACTGTGATGGTGGGAAGAAATTGCTGGAGGGGCCTGTACTAAATTTCTGTCTTTTTAATCATTGGTACATCTGCCAATCATTTCTTGTTTTGGGAGGACCAACATAATTACTGCACAAAACCCTTTTTGCTCTCCTTACCTTCGTAAAAAGGACCTTGCTGGCCTAACTGACAGCGATTTGCGGTTTCAAGAAAAGAATAATTTTGCTTACAGTATGCTGCTGCTTCCATCTTGGTGCGTATTGGGGCGGGAGGTCGTAGAACAGAGCGTACCCGTCTCCGAACACCGCCCTAAAATGAATTGCAGGATGTCCGAGTGAACCAGTGTGCTTATTTAGAATTCTGTAAAACGGTCTGATTCAGAAAAAAGTCAGGGCAGTAAATGCCTGTTTATGATTCTACTTTTAATTTGGTTTACCCCAACCATGAATCAGTCCACTTGGGGTGTCGAGGCGTCATCTTAGCGGTAATGAAGATGTCCTACAAGACAGTTCAACGTATGTACATTGGTCAGCTGCTGTAAGGTCCTATAAAATGCAATGAGTCACTAGTCTGTGATTCCTAATTCTCCTTCTCCAAGTTCACGCACTGCTATTTTCACGGCATGTAACCTCAAAACGGTTGACAGGCTTTCCCCATTGACTACTCTTGGCTGACTGTCCAGGCGCAAACTCCCCTTCGCTCAAAGGGTTGTAAGAAGCCGAGGAAAGTGCCAGCATAGAATCAGCAACCAGCCCTCATTCAATTTTTGGTGCACAATCAATGTGTCATCCTGTACTAGGCACTCGTGATTGTTGTTAACCATTCCTCGCCGTTTACTAAAAGTTACGCCGCTATTTTGGCAGGGTCCGAATTTATGTTGGTATATTAAGGAAACACCACCCCTGAGGAGGATATCTACCATTTGAAATTCTTGTACTCCCTTAATTCCTGCCGTTAAACCTATTCAAAAATCTTGTCCCTCTGTTTCCGGAAGTCCGTCTTATTATGCATAAAGCCCTGCATCTTACTTGTGATCTGAATTGGATTATTCTTTCACCTCAGCTTCCATCTCACGTCCATAATAAATGCTACAAAATTCCTACCCCGGTGCCTGAGACCATTTGGTCTTTTGTGTTTAATAACTTGGCAACCCTTTGTTTGAACGCACCAATGGCAAAAAAGTGATGAACTACACAAAATCAAAAAATAATTTATTTGGTAGGTGTTCCTAGGGTTGCACGCCTTTGAGCTCTACCTCTTACTCAGTCATATTCTCGGGTTTTAATTCAATCAAGCATTTGTGCTGTTGCCCAATGTAGGGTGTCGCCTAATTTGTAATTCGATGGAAGTGCAACACCTCAATAGTGGTTTTTGCCGGCATCGTCTGACTATGGTGGTCCTTCGCCATAAAATAAGCGTTGCTTTGTAGAGATGACAACCTGATTACGGTGAGCCAGCTAATTGAAGAGACCACTGGCCTCCTCCAGCCCATTCTTGAGTGCGTGCAGCTGGGTGAGCCGATTAACCAGTTGGATTCCAAAGTAATCACGCAACTGAAGATTTCACAGGTGCCAAACATCAAAAGTTAGACCAATAAATTGTTGCAGTGGAAGAATTAACCTTGTAATCATTTAGAGTTGGACATTAAATCATCTTTTGCGCAATCACTAGCAGAGTCTAGGAAATAAATCGGCCACCGCAACCCAGGGGATTCATCGTTTTACAACGAAATCAGTTGTCCTTCCTTTTTTTTTCCTTTTCCAACATAATTTATTTCCTTCTCACAAAACCTGTCACATATGTGTGACGTGAGGGCTTCGGTAACATGCCGGTGATGGAAGCTAAACATAGCAACATCTAGTTCCTGCATTACATCTGCATTGCACGAGAAAATACTTTACAACGACCCCTTACAGCAATCCTGTGCACGTTATTAAAGTATCCAACCAGTTTAAAGTTTGTCGCTAGGAGGAAACTCCTTTCACACATTGTTAGCGTCCCATGTACAATCCTGCACGGGCCGGTTTTTTTATCAAGAGCTACATATTTCGGCGTGTGATTGGCTTCTTTTCCATGGTAAATGAGGAAGCAAGTTCTGCTATGCTTGATAAAAATAAACATTAACCGTTCCCAATACCCTCTTGTCAACAGGAACAGAAATGGGAAGGTTACCCGCCGTTATGTCTCAGTTGTTAAGCCTACCCTAAGTTTCTAACGAGTCCATTCTATTTAGTTAATGCGTGATAAGTGTTTTTTGCACCCGGACGGTGGTCCCCACATTGGCTGTGAGACCGCGTTGTGAAAGCGTCACAATGAAACCAACAGGGCTACGCCACTTTGACTTGGCTCGACTAATGCAGGGTTTTCAGCTTAAAATAACTGTTGAGTGGGATTCGCCTGAGGTGCCGAAAACCTTATAACAAACAATTCACTCAAAATCATGGCATTTCATGCATAATTCAGTGCTTCGAAGTCGACAAAGGATGCAGTCAAATTTAGGCAGTCGTCTGGCACGTGACATTCAAAAGGCGATATTCGGAAATTGTCCCAACAAAACTCTCAAAATCGCATCCATATGGTTGGAGCAAAAAATTGGACGTCCACCTCCACTCCACCGGAAAGGCATTAGTCGGACTTCGGGTAATTAGCATAGCTTACGCATTTCCTCCAACAGGGAGTGAAATATAGAGGAGAAGAGGAAGAATACTTATCATGAGGAGCATAACCCCCGCATGCCCTTTATCCCACTTACATGAGTGTCGGAAGGATAAAGCGATGGCTTTTGCGCTTCCGGAAAAAGTGCAAAAAGTGAAGAGGTGATAAAGTGGATCGACTAATGCTGTGATTTATCATCTTTTTCACTTCTCGCAATGGTGGCCATAAATTCACTTCCACTTTGCTACCAGAGCCTTTACGAGGTGGATGCAAGACTACCCAGACTGCCAGTGAAGTAGAAACCGTCCCGGAAGGTGTATGGAAAGTGATGCGGCAAAATTGGTTAAACCTCATTTCCTCCTCATAAATGGGGTGCTTGAAGAGAATAGCATTTTCATTCGTCAGTTCAACTATGCATAGGCATCTTTTACCCCATTGGACAGGGCAAAAGTCGCCTCCAAAACTGCATTTCGGAACCAAGCTATTGTCACAGTTTTGGAGCTCCTTTAAAATTTCTTTTCTTCGTATGCAGAGAAACTATTATCTTTTCGTATTTTAATGCGAAGTTCATAGCTTTTTGGGTTTTTTTGAAGACTAAATAAAGTGAGTTTCGAATCTCTCCACACATTGTAGTAAAAAGGGAGGATTTTCAACATCTCTGACCATCAATATAACATGAGACATTTGATATTTCTAGTGTAGCTAAAGTTTGAGGCAATTGGGTAAACTAAATATCAAGCAGAAGTGAAAATCACTGGAAACCATATTATGAGGTTAAGAAGGAAATAGGCAAATTTGTCACCAAGGCTTCGATAGCAAACAACGTGAATTTCTTGTCAATTCTACAAAAGTGCTCACTTAATAGAATGTCCAACATCATCGTGTCACGCCGTCGTAAACTCGGCATTTAACCAAGTGGAGGGAAAAAAGGGTCCAGAGGGAAGTCATATTCAATTTAGCAGAGGCTTGAATTCAACCTAATCACAGTTGCTACACACCCGTCAAGCGGTGTACCTCCCTTCTGAAGGTGTGTTTTACACAGCATCCTTTCTCCTCTTTAGCATTTATTTTTGGACAGCAGTCTGTTTTTATTTTCCTTTTCTGAGTGCTGATGGCTCTATCGTTGATGGCGTCCAAGCTACACTCACCGTTTTAGCCCCTCTTGAATGTGCAGCGGATTAAAGGTCAAGTGATTGCAATCCGTGGGGTTGGCACACAAAGGTTGGTGTGTTGTGTTAGCGATTCCGAAAGTTTGTAAGCCACGGCAGTCTGGCACTTTTAAATATTAACTTTTCTGTAGTTTGAAATGTCACCTTAGCGGGTGACTCGCTCCCCCTCTCTCACTCTTAGTTTCAGTGCTTTGGTGGCATTAGTGTCCCCTCGCCGTGGAATGAGAATGATGCCTACAACCCGGACAAAGTGCAGTGCTGCCTCCTGTCTAGGTTGTGAAAGCTTTCACACTAGGGACGAGGCAAATTTTCTCATCTTGCTAAGGCATAAATGGAGTAACGGTACAACTTGAAGCATAATTTAATCCCATAGAGGAACTAAACTTGCCTTCTGCTAATTTTAGTGTCATAAGGCTATGACTTAGAAAACAGATGAATTTGCGGCGAGACAAGAATCAGCTAACCTCGGTTACACTGTTTAGGTCTAACAGCGCTTATTTCTTTTGTAAAGCATCGAAATGGCAGTTGATACTTCCTAAAAATACAATCTCTCGGAAAAATTTGGAGGTGAATTTGTATTTGAGACTATTTTCTGCCATTCACGCATTTGCTACCAGCGTCACATATGCGTGACATCCACCCTATAACAGATTATGACCAAAAAGTTTGCATCAAATCCTGTCTTAGAAGGAGTGTCTGAATGTTAAACCATCAACCATATGCGAAAATTTTCTCAATCTGCGAATGTAGGCATTGTTTTATTGTTGAGGAGGAGTTGAATTACCATTTGGCCGGTCAAGGTGAGTGAATACAACACGTGGGTAGCTGTTGTGGTCGATTTTAATTCGAGAACGTGTTGATTAATTTCTTTGGTTTATGATACAAAGCCGTCTAATTATGTCACCCGTATTTTCAAAAACTCGGTTTGACTTCCATGAAAATGCAAAGTATCCGTAAGTTCTTGAAGGCACTTCAAAATGAAAGTGGTTAATAGAAAATGGGAACAGTAGAAATCAAGGTAGTTTCCAGGAAAGCTGTCCATTCTACTAATAGGAGACAAAACATTTTTTAAATATAAAAGCCCATTTACAACGTAAGGTAAACTACCATTTTTGTTTTAAGGGGGGGGGGCGGGGCAGGAAATTGGTGGAGCACTTTTCGCAATCTAATCTGTTGTATTCATGATTTCCCCCCTCATAAAAGCATTTTTCGATTAAGCAATCTAATGTAAAGCCCCTTTTTTTCCCAAACGTTATATCTGTACCATCAGTTGGCGTAATTTTTAGCCGAGAGTAATCGAAAACAACACGCCCACTACTCTTGCTGGCAATTCACTTGGCTTGTCTATGCGTCTGGAGGAAAAAGTGCCATGAAGTCCAATTCACCCTGTCAACAAAAAGTAGACGAGACAGCAGTCGGTAACTAACGTAATTGGGTCACCATGTGAGCGTGTTGAGTCGGCATGATCATGGCAACAGGTCCCACCCCCGTCCTCCCACATGCGCACACACCCTGACCAATGAGCAAGCCCCAACAATAGGCGTAGTCACTGCAACAGGGAGGCTACATTGCCTGCTATGCCTCTTGCTGTACACTTCTACGTCGATGGTGAGTCATGGTACGGAGGGTGGCCAATGTGAAAGGCGAGAGCGAGAACGAAGGCGCATGTTTGGGCGTGTGTATGTGTGTCGTGAGGCTTTGCCTGGACCGTCGCGTTCACTCTCGAGCACGCAAGGTGACCGCTTATCACAGGCACACACGTGGATGCGCACCCACCCACCCATCCACACGCGCACAAGAAAGGTGAGTTGTCAATGCCACCGGTCCGACGTCTGACCAACTGCTCATGCTGAATGGGTGTGTAGGTGGGTGGCAGTCGTGTGCTCCAGGTGCAGATGATGAGAATTTTAAAAAAACGCTCAGGCAGAGTTGATAGAGTATGTTTTAGGCCTCAGTGTGTCTAGATGGTCGCATTGGCATGTTACGTGTGGGGTGAGTTGAACGCTTTTTCAGTCGATGTGGTGAAACCAGTCGTCACTGCCGAAGAGCGCATGTGACACCCAGCTCCGAATGTGGTGCTTGCTCGACTTCTAGTTTCAACGACGATAAGTTTGTTTATTTGCGATTATACGACCCGACTTCGTTACAAATATGCTTGATTAATCTTGACCAGTTCTTACTAAGGAGGGGTGGAAGACATTTTCCAGGTCTGTGTACCAGAAATGCACATTGTACATTCGGTCACGCAAGCCCGTCCTGCTTCCCATGATTCTACCTTTCCACTGATAACATGGAGCTATGCCATGCTCCCAATTTCACGGCTATTCTGCACTCCAATGTTGGTATGCTCCACAGATAAGTGGGGTTCTAAAATGCTTCCCATGAAAACAAATAATCAGGATTCACCAATTTTCTCAACACTTCGGGAGCTAAGAGTGTGACTGACGAAATCCAGACAGCGTTACCTGGATATGCGTACTAGAATGCGAACTGACTATAGGATCCATCCCTTCTCCCACTATTCAGCCTCCATGCTGGAGGTATGGGATTACCACCATACCAGCCCGCCAGCCCTTTAAACTGGTGCTCCTTGCAGTGACTTCAGAGCAACTCTACCGCCAAGTATGCATATTCACATACGGAGAAGAAAATTAATAGGGCAAATTATTACTGTGTGAACAAATGCCTTGGCCTTAGTGGACGACTGCGCCATAACTGTAGCTCATTCGGACGTCCCCTGATTCCCCTTGGCCCGAAAAAAATGTTGTCGTGGGAGTGAAGCAATAATCCACAGAAAATACTTCGTCGAATTTGAGTTATACAGGTTAATATAAATTAGAAATGTTTATTGCTTTTCAAGAAAAGTAATTACATACTTTCCTTTTGATAATTTAATCAGTAAAGAAATGGATGTTTGGTAGCTACCATTAATAACTGTCAGTAGATGTTGGCAACCTGTAGAATGTAAGGATTGACTATGGTGTATCCTTGGATAAGCTATTTGATGCCAAAAGATGCATAGAACAGGATAATTTGATTTCAGCTCCAAGAAGACGTATTTTTCAAAGCCACCACAAGGTGTACTTGACTGAACTCCAACAGACTTTCCTGCCCACCCAAAAAGTTCTTGCAATAATCCAACAAGTCTGTCTATTATCTATCAAGAGTAACTAAATGACCTGGTACTTCAACCAGTAAGTTCACGAGAGGTTTGCATTAATTTGATAAAAGAATTACACCGTCATATCCAACAAGCTCAGTGCGGTTCGTGTCATTTAGGCTAGTGGACAATATTGCCCTCGCAGTGATTTGTTACAAGTGGCCGCGGAATCAATCCCTGACAAGGTTGTTATTCACTTCATGAACACTACCCTAACATGACTTTCGTCTAATCACTTCTTTGAGTAAATCAGAAAATCAAATGAATGTTTAAATTCTACTGAAGACCGAAAAAGGCCACTATGGATAAATGGAGTGCTTCTTCTTAAGTGACAGTAAGTTTGCAATTTCATGACCAATAAAATAACAAAATTGTGGACGAATTGCAGTAAAAAAGCACTGAGAAGCCTTCTTCAAGAATGTTAGGCGTGTCTAAGTAGGAAAAGATTCTTATTTTGGTCTACTAACCTGTGAAGGACGATGCACAGCTCCGTAGTGATATTGTATCTGAGGTTTCCGGATACCCAGAAAGTCCATTTGAGGAGTTCAACGGTATTCGGTTTTGTTGAAGTCGACTGACTGTAAGGCTGCCATCTGAAATAGGAGAGTGCCATCCCGACACAGAAGCCCTCGGAGTCCCCCGCAGTGGCGGTCCGCCAGCCTCCGAAAACAGCTGTTTGCCGGACGCTGAAATACATTTAAGTAGCGGAGTAATGGCCGCACACGTGTCTGCATAAATTATTCCGTTCATTTGGCATGTGTTTTGATCTCTTGGTCGCTGCCATGACAATACATAAAGGCAATGATTTCGTATTCATCACTAGCATGTACTATTTTTAGATTTGAAGTGAAAAAAAAAACCCGAGAGCGCGATCTTTGGCCAGTCGTGTCTTGAACGCTGACAGTGCTTCTTCTGCTTTGTTTTTAAAAAATCTATTTGCAAGTATACAAGGTTATGCCTGAAGGTTTAACAGGGTAAACTTTATAAAGGTAAACTTTTAGACAAACGGTAAGTTAAGGTATCAAAAGGTCCAAAGTAAGGGAGTAACCGTGCAGGAGAATGAAAACGAAAAGCGGATACAGATGCCAAACGCCAATGGTGGAGGATGTGAAAGTCCCTGACCCATGGAGAAGAGTTTAAAAACAAGTAGGGAAAGTGCGAAATGTAGATAATAAACGGAGAGCCGATCTTACGAGTCTAATGAAAAAAAATACGAATTTACAGGGTCTGCTTGTTCCACCCCAATAACTTTACATTACTTCTCCTCCTTATGAAACCGGATAACAGCATCAAAATGATTTGAATGAATATATTTTGAAATTACTAGTGGATCAGGAGTGTAGCTACGCGGACCTCTCTAGTCTCCCTAGATTCGTCCATCATGCAGTTAGCAAGGAGCAGGGAAAACCTACTTCGAGAGTTGGGTTTCACAGCCAAGCTCGCAAATTCGTGAACTAGTTCTAAGAAAATGAAGAGTGTCTGGCAATTTCTTGGTGGACATTACAAATCCATTTTGCTGATCATCGCAACGCCATCCGCGTTATACCACTCGTTTAAGTCAATCGGGGGTCACAGATGAATTGACATTATTTTTCAAAATTTTAGCATTAGCTCATCCAATGCAACCGATATGATTTACTTGAAAAGCACACAATATTTAACGCGCATAAATAGAGAAACAGAAAACCTGGATAAGGCCTGGGCGCCGATGGCAATGCCGCAGAGGTCTGAGTGATCGAAGGTGCGAAAGTGAGACAAATGGACCTTCACACCGTCAGAGATGCAAATCTCGCCAATTAGTGAAGTCGGAGGTGGGGTAGGCATGTTACAGCATGACACTGCCCAATTTGTGACATGAAGTGTCTACTTAAGGCGATTTTGTATTAATGATTATGAAAAAACTCTCTAAAAGCATTTTCTTTGAGGGAGACCATTCTGCTGTCTATGAAGCGATATTCCTGTTGTGAAAACTTTTGGAAATGTGCTTAGCCAACGAGCAGGTGAAGAGTCCTGTCACTTTTTTGCAGTCAGCCTGAAACACTTAGTGACGGTGTGTTTGGCTGGCGAGGATCTGGCTCAACAACAACGCCTAATCGTGGGTGTTATTTAGGTGAGGAGGTCAGCACTGGCGGGAACAATAGCTAAGTTGCATCAGTTATGTGAAAGATCGGGAGTGAGATCAAATTAGAAAATGATGGTAGGCTGAGGGCGGCTGTAAAAGGAGCAGACGCGTCTATCTCCACCTGCGCTAACATATTCTCCATTACAACAATGTTGTGTGGATGGATATCTGCGTAGGTTTTACGCATACTATAACGTTCCATATGATGGAGTATCATCCATCATTTTTAGTGGTTTACGGATGGCTTAACAAAACTGATGACCTCATTAACCTATTACAACAAATGAGTGTTCCCTGCTGCCGGTCGGATAAAGCAATGAAGGGCGGAATTTGCGACTATGTAGCTGAGATCAGTCGGCCATTGCCAATCGGTCAGGTTTCTTGTCGGGAAGCGATAGATTGCGTTTAGCCGATACAAATAAGCCTGCTACTCTAACTACGGGACGGATCTGGATTCGGAAACTTGGCCACCGTAGCCATCAGACAGCAGCTGTTGCTAATACCTACTGGGTCCATCTATCCCCTATCCATCCTCCGAATTTCATCGATGCCAGTCAGCTTAATCGAGCTCTCTTTAGGAAGATAAAGCTGTTCTACCAACAGCTTCGACACTACCATATTGCAGTGACCCTTATTGGAGCTTTTGGTACTCTCCTCACTTTAAAATCAAATTCTAACCACTTTCAATCGTCGTTTTAATTGCAGTCCACTTTCAAGTGCAGTTATGACCTTTAGCTAACGGAAATTTGTCGCTCTTAACCCTTCGGAGGGCCGAAAAAAGCAAGTTTTAATGAGTCGAACTTTCTAGGCCGGTTCACGAGGTGTCCCAGGAAAAGGAAACTGAGTGCATTAGGTGAGAGGAGTGACCTCGAAGACCATCTTCGCTTTGTTTATAAAGTTTGTAGCATAAAAAAATGCTTTTCTTCCTCCAACAGCCAGATTTTAATTATTTCTTAGTCGCATGTAGAGAGGAAGGGCATTTAAAAAGGTTTAGCGGTCGAAATTAAGTATGCTACGACTCTGGATACTACAGCCCAGTCGCCAACTGAAACGTCCCAGATGCATTGCTTAAAAAAGGTTGATTCCATACACAAGGGTATTTTTTTAGCTGTGAATCCAGCTTCCGTATTAGAGGTTTGAGGTGGTTATGATGGAAAGTTTCCCATTCAAAATGATGCTGGTTTTTCTTAGACGACTGAAAAATAACAGCTTACCGGTCCCCTCGTTGCACAGTGAGTAGCCGCTGGAGCTTGTTGCCATATGGGCCCTTGTGGTACCGTTGGATGGCTTCAAGGTGACCTCAGGGAAGGACGATTTTGGAAGGATAGGGGGCGAGGAGAGTGCCTCGGTAGTGGTGAAGCCCTCCGACAGGCGGCCGAGGCTGGAACAGCGCTCGCCCAGCGGACGTATCTGGCTCGCCTGCCGCCGTTTCTGATTGTACTTGGGACTGCCTCGCAGTGGAACTGACAACAGAAAATGACATGGGCCAATTGGTTATTGGGATCGGCACTTAATGGCTACTTTGACAGGTACTGATTGACTGAGAGCTACTGAGTGTTCAGGAATCAAGTGGTGTTACTCCGACCCATCAGAAATTAAGATGTTGGAAAGTGTATAAACCATAACTGTTTCACAACTGTTAACTTTCTTCCAGCAAAAGTAAGCACCGAGGCTCAGACATTCGAGGCATTCAACCATTTTGTCGAAAGACTTTCAACTTGCCGACTGGAATAATCTCTGATAATGAAGAATTACTTGTATTTATAAGCTTTCCCTGATGCCAAATGAACTCCTCCTTATCTGGATTGTGCGACCCATGTTTACTGTTTGAAGCAACATAAGAGAGTCTGTTTAATACAACCTAGTGGATGTTTAGCTCCGGCAAACAACTTTACTGAGAGAACTAAGGCTTGTCAGATTGTGTAGGCTGAGGTCACCGCAAGCGACAAAGACCACTTTGTTTACCATCACCTGAGGTCAGACGCCGTACCATGTGACCTGAGTTGATATTCTTCTTTTTGACACTCACCTTCAGACATGTTAACAAGCACTGAGACAGACGGATCCTAAGCCCCAGTATTCACTTCATGAATTGTTTGAAAATTTCGACTCAAACTACGCGCATTCGGGAAAAGGTGTTGTCAACTCGTTAGCTGGTTTTAACAATTACTAGATAGATGGAGTTGCACAGGGAGAAATGCTTTCGATGGGAGTTACTAGGACCTCCCAAATTTTGTATGTAGGCATTGGCAAGTGTTTGGGAGAGATTACGTCGGAATGGAAGGCTTTGACAAGAAATTGCGGAGGGTGAATTGTTGTGGAGAACCCGTAAGCCCAGTGGTGTCAACAATAAGTTTTATCTAAGTTTAAACCACATTCACATCTTAGTAATACCTTCATTATTTGCTTGGAGGGCGTTTTGCACCTCATTTCTAGGAACGCCACCTTGAAATCTAGAAAAAGAACTCAAAATTTATTCTACCCGAATTTCTCCCGTGATCGGATGGTTTAATTTAGTTTTTCTTCTTCTTCTTTAGATGCCTACTCAATCCTCAGTAGCACATTTGTTCTACTGAAAGGACACATCACCATCCCAAAGCTGGTGCTTACAAAAGGTCTCAGCCACCACACTACCGACTTCATCTACTAAGGTCTCAAAGGGCCACAAAAAACGTTAATTAGGGAATTTCGCCCTTATTTATTAGCTGTGATTGGATGCATTAATTCAAGAGCCTCTCTAATTGACGGTGTTTCTTAAGGCTTTGATAAAGGCGACACTTATCGTAAGCGCTCAACTCCTTCTCGGCGGTTCTTTCAATTGCAATGTCTACCTGTAACATCTGTGGCCATAATTTTAGCCCAAAAGACTTTTCACCTACTTCGACTGTATTTTGCCAGTGAAAACCATATGGAATTGACAATTACCCATTTGACCGGTGACTAGTTACATCCATAACACCCCAGCTAAAGATTCTGGCAATGCCACCCCTTGAAACCCGTTCAAAACTGTTGACGGGAACTTACCATCAGATTTTTAACTGCGTTGAGTAAATTTATGTTCTACTCCTGAACAGGCTGTCTCCACAGTTTCTACTTTACAGCATGTGTATACCTCTAGCCTCAAGTCATCATCATCATTCTGTAGAGTAACGAATGCATGTAATCGTCTAAATAATGGTGAAAAGCAAATCCTTTCCAGATTCAAGACAACAAGACATTTCCTGATATTTTCGACGTTGTTTAGAATGCATTAGGAAACTTGAGCGATCACCGCCAATCTGATAGCCCAAATGGATGAACTAATTCAAAATTTGCATATTCAGATTCGTACCCTAAATCTAAACTGGGGAAAATTTGTAGACCGGCCTTTGGTTATTTCCTAGAGTGTGTTCACTTAGCTCTGGTGGATTAACTAGTGGGTTTGGATTACGGGACACAAATTTGGCCTCGTGAATGCTTGCCCCCAACTGTATCAAAAAAATATTCATTTTCCAACACTCTTTTGAAGACAGTTAGCTTTCCGCGTCAAATGGACATGATGATGATGTCACTCACCAACATCCTTGTCTTGAAAGTCACGAATGAGTGTGGCCGTGGCGACGTGATTGGCCAGAACGGCCTCCTGATGGGCAGTGTGACCGGCACGATTCTTCAATGTCCGGTTGGCGCCTCGAAAGAGGAGGAGGCGTGCACAGGATTCCTGTCCATTGTAGGCACAGAAGTGGAGAGGTGTATTGCCGTTGAATGTCGTCTGACTGTTGATGTTTGCTCCATACGCAATCAGCTGCTCTAGATGCTGCACTCGACCGAATCGACAAGCCTATCCACAAAAGCACAATTTATTCTGAGATTATCGTAGATGGTGATGCAATAGATAAACACTTATTCGGTTCGCTGAAGTTGAGAGAAGAGGTGGTGGATGGAGGGTTAAGGGAACGGAGAAGTAAAGGTAAAGTGAGAGGATGAAGTGAGCGGACTATGCCAGAAATAGTCTTATCCCGCCATAGTATAGTGACGCAAGTCTCCGTCTTTCACCTGGAAGATTTAAGTTTTGATTCGTTTGCAAAGCTTGTCCCCTGCCTGTCCATCTCTATTTGCTTACACTGGCGCTAGGGGATGTGGTGATTGGGGGAGGTCTTGCCTCCTGCGGCCTGATGGTTGTCACTTTAGAAGAAAAAGCGGATACGAGCACGCCATGTGGTGAAAAACGCTTTAAGCTAGAAATATGCTGTGTGCTAAGCAGAAATGACAGCCGCCATATCCTCGTCTTCGAATAACAACTGTCAAACGGTATTCGCGCTAGCATTCAAATTTCGCTTTTTACAATTATTTGCCATTTTCAACATTCTAGTGGTAGTTTTCCATGCATTTCAGTGTTTCCTTACCAAAGGCCAGATTTCTATCATCAGAGCTGAAAATGACGATAGGACATGCTCTCCTGTCATTCACTGGAGGGCTTTGATAGACACCGTAGTGGAATTGCTTCATGCTGACGGGGATTAGGATCATAGGTACAGACGAGTGGGCTTTAAAGAGTTTGTGTTCCCGTCAGCACGTATTTGCGGAAGGAAGGGAAGGGCAAAAGCGCATCCGATTTCGTCACATAGCTACCGGTCTTCTAATAAGAATAGCGGCTTTACGTTTTAGCAGATATTTTTCCTGCTTTCTCAATGAAGTATATGTGACAACAAAAAACAATCTTGGTGATCTAATACCGCTTGTACCCACATAATGAAGATCCAAACGACTTTATCATATCAATCGTTCTAGAAGTCTTTTAAGCAAAACTTTGAGCTGTGCAAATTTAACCTACCTGATGGATCTCCTCCATTCCAGCGCCGTCAGTGACACCGATCGTGGAATGATCAAACAGCAGCCATTCCGCACACATTGCTGACGTATCGTTAAGAATACATTGGTAGAGCGGAGTAAGTCCTTTAGAGTCCCGGGCGTTTGGCGATTGGCCCAAATCCAGAAGCACCTTTAAAAGCACCGTGCTTATTTGAACTTTACCATCCGACCCCTTTCCCATAAGCAATGATTAGAACAATACATATCAAATCAATAAAATGCAATTAAGGGCGCTTTGAAGCGGTTTAAAAATCACTTTAATAGCTTCGTAGTTCCCGTTGATTGCAGCCTTGTGGAGAGGTGTAGAGCTGTCCGCAGCACGATAATCCAAATGGGCACCACCAGCAACCAGGACCATGATAATAGGCTTAGGCTTAGGAAGTCGAACTGCGATTGTTAATGGAGTCTCTAAAGAAGATAGACTTAGCATTAGCAGCCACCTTTGAGAAGTAAGAGGACGAAGATTTCTGCACAACTTACCACCATCATCGCGACATTGAAAATTGGGATCAAGTCCTTTTTCAAGAAGGATGGTGACTTTTTCCAAATCACCACAGCGCACCAAACTCAAAAATTTCCTTAAATTAGGCTACAATGAAAGAAAAATATTATTTGCCTTCAATATTCGCCTTCGTTGTATATGGAGTGAATAATAACCCATAATCAAAATAAGTTTACTAGTTGATTCACGCAAAAATAAGCTTTAAACACGAATATATCAGAAAAATATCGTTTTAAAGTTGTTCGTACCTTTGAATTAACCTTTCGTAGCTTATTAATATTCGTAGGGAGATTTCTGTAAATCCTTTGCTTGTATTTAAACTAAGGGAATATGAGAGTACAATAGCTAACCTCTAAATGTCCAACAGAGCATGAAAACGGATAATCTCTTAATTGCCTTTCTTCTTGCAAAAATTTTCCAGCTTTTCCGTTAGCTGGAGGTAGAAATAATCCATAATTCAGTATATCACGAAATTCCAGTTGTAAATCAGTTGCAATCGCTAATTTAACATCCGAAATCATATCAGTTTGAAGAAAGCTGTATACTCGCTTAGGGATACATAGATCAGTTCGAATATCTAAAAACAAACCTCTACACCAACCGACGGGACGTTGATTTTAATAACTGTCGAGCCGGATATAGAAGCGTCAATATCTTTGGTACTTCCATTCATACTAATTGATAAGCCAGAATCGCTATCACACATGATTTAGCAGTAGGAAATGGGTGAATTTAAGTGTCGCAAAGACCACACAATATTATGAAAAATTAGTATTCAAAATTGCGGTGTGTATAAGGTAAAATAAATTTGATACGTACAAACATAAGTGCCTATGTTCAAAGCTTCTGGCAAAACCTAAAAGAAAATTGTTAAATTTTAATAATTTTGTACAGACAATAACGTTTTTATAACGATTTAGATTGGTTTTTTAATTTGCATTACTACGGAGTATTCGATAGTGGATCACAAATAACATGCAAAATAATGAACTGAAATCAATCAAATACACATAACAAGGAAATAGACTGAGTGTATACGCTTTAAGGCGTGTATTACTTAATTTGAAACTATGCTAGGTGACGGTAATCAAATCATACAATAACTTCTGTTTTGATTTACTGTACATTTACATTAGCGACGCAGTAAGTCAAGTTTTGAATGAAATTGTACCCATGGCTTTAACTTTACACGCCTTTCATAAGTAGAGCATGAGCAATGAGATGAGAAGCGTGAAAAATTTTTGATCAAACACATTTTACAAAGTGACTTCACACCCTTCTCTTGCTTCTACAATGATTACTTATTTGTTTCTTGAATCTCACATAGGTCTACTGTAATACGATAGTGGTTTATCCCTCGGTTCTGGTGAGGCGCCACTTTTGCACTTTGAATTAGCTCCTTGTACCTCGCTGGGTGGGCTGTCCTTTTGGGCCATGCCAATAGCCCAGACACCTTCTCCGTGCTGAATATTTATATTCTACCCGAGTATTGTGTCTTCTTTCGTCTTCAGGGAGTCTCGGGACGCTACATTATATTCATTCAGTGGTTAAATTAACTAAATAGGTCGCCAAACAGTATGATTCAAGAATATTTAATTTCTAATTAGTAGCTTTATTAAAATACATTCCATGCAAAGTCAGAAAAAGGTGTATTATGTTAATGGTTTATTTAGCTCGCGGTCCTTGTAACATGCCACACCGGGTCTCCATCAATGTAGCTCTCACTGGTGGTCTGGACTTTGGAAGGTGACGGCAGACCCAATGCCTTCTTTATACCGACTACATATATGTAATTCGATGGTAGCTTATTCCTCTGTATTGGTGAGGCGCCACTTTTGTGCCTTGAATTAGCCCTCTCTTGTACCTCGCTGGGTGGGCTGGCCTTTCGGGCCATGCCAATAGCCCAGGCACCTTCTCTGCGCTGAATATACATTCTGTCCGAGTATTTTATCTTCTTTCGTAGTCTTCAGGATGTCTCGGGACGCTACATATATTCTACTTAGGTACAATGTGTTCTTCCGTCTACAGGGAAGTCTTGGGGCGTTACAATGCGTCAAAAGACGCCACAATCTATAGAAAAATGAAACAACTCAAAGGATTGATACTATAATGGAATGAAATAAATTTCACCTGCTGGTCGTGGGAAATGTTTAATGGATCAAAAATCTGCTTAAGTATAACTTGCCGATTCCTAGACTGGGTTGTTTATTAATCTGCTCACTTTCACTTTTTTGGTTGTTTTTTGCGAAAACAGCCTTCTATCTTTAATTGTCTCTTCCTAATTTTATTATTTAAATGCACCATATGTTGTCACCTTTATTAATGTAAAATTAGGGTATCCGCTGAAAGAAAGTGTTAATAGCAGTGATTCACGCCAAATGGCCATCATTTAAGCAAAGCATTTATGACTGAGGCTATGTTAGTTGCGAATTCGGTACTTAGTTTTAGACTGGGATTTTGGTTGATCATATTTGGCAAAATAATGTTTATTCCTATAGTGTCTAAACGCTCTAAAATACGTGAAGAAAACAACATTCAGTGTGTCAGAAATTAACATTAAGAAACAAAGCCAGGCATTTTTACTGCATTTTAATGGTCATTAGTTTCCCTTTGCTGTTGTCAATGCTATCCACCATCAGTTCACTCCCCCTCTTTTGCTCAAGGAGTATTGCTTGATGCTTCATATTTTTGACTTGGTAAAATACTCTAAAAACTGCATAAGTCTTTTCCACTTCCTTGCCTAACTCATGTGTTTATGTAGTTGGTTCCGTTCTACACGATATATCATCAAATGCCAAATTTGCGCGCATTTCGGTTGGCCATTCTGTTTGGCACCATAGAGGCTGCTGAGGATGTCTGAACAGGGTTCCAGTGTCCTCCTTCAGGGCTTTCCATTTTTCCGGTTTCGGAAAAAAGTAACTTTAATCATCACTTATTTTAAGGGCTATTTAGTGGAGAAAGCGGCATTGTGTTCTGTCAAAGCCCTCTACATTCTCAAGTACAATTTTGTTAAATGTGCGTTAGTGATGTAGGTACCTTGAAATTATTTGTCAGCAAGTCAGAGATTACCAGCATTAATGATCCTGAGTATGTGCACTCTTTCGACATAGGTGTGCACATTTTCTCACGCCCTTCAATTTTGCTCATCTGCACACATCGTGTGCATTGCATGACCTTCGAGGTTTTCGATGACCTCCGTCTGTGGGCCGATACTTTGCAGGACAATCTTATTTGTGGGTCAAATTTCTATTTTAATCTGTTTTTCCACCCACTTCTTCCTTCAATCCTTCAATATCGCGGAATTTCAATCACGATGAGATTAACCGACATTTCGAATGTGGTTCCCCTGCCAAACTTATGCCAATTTTTATGAGAACAAAATTCGGAGACCTGTAGTTTTTCTAGTCTTGACTGTATTATCCTAAAACGAATAAGTCTTGGATCCAATCTACAACTCGTATGTTTTCACTGGGTTGATGTTAGGAATTCAAACCTCCAATCTGATTTTGATTAACGTTTTGAGCAATTGGCCTTTAATTTATTTATAGGCTCTAGGTTCTTTGCAAGTCTCTTCTCAGCTCCCAAGACCAGTCGTCTGCATTCCTATGTCCTCTCACCCACTGCTTTCTCCAAAACTATGGGCGCTTCGGGATCTGACCTCTTGGGATCCACAGAACTTGCGCAATCCCACTCCATCACATCAGTATCCACCACTACCTCATCCACCTATTACACTTACTTCTCTAGTCTACTTTCCCGTGTCATTCACTACCATCGTCACAGTGGGAGCAGCAACGGCTTTCTCCACGTCACTGTGGATCGAATCCTTTTCGTCACCATCTCTCAGGGTCGCAAACCTGCTCTTGTTGCCTCCTGGAACTTCACCAACGGTGAGATCAGCGTCTACGGTACCGGTCGCATCTCCGCCACATCTGGAGATTCGGAAAACAAAATTTTTTACCTAATGGAGGCAGCAGATCGCTACGTCTTTGCTTGCGACAAGGCGATTGAACTGAGCACCTGGATTCAGCGTGTCACTCGACCTGCCTCCTACCTTTACGAACGTCGCTGGTTGTCTTCCGTAACTTCCCAGCTGGGCCAAGACCAGGCAATACTTCCCATGCCCTTCACTAGAAACAGTGAACGAAAGTTTTATGACGCCAGTCCAAAGGATACCTCTGAGGTATAAAATCACCATCTTGTACCATTTCAAGCAGCTTGACAGCAGGGGTATGGTGCACGTAAAGGTCTGATGAGTAAGGGATCGTAACCACATGTCCGATCTTCAAAGTGTCCTTCCAAGCTGTTTTGCAATTCTCACACGCACACGCCTAGGTGTCAGTAAAGGCGATTTATTAGGGGTGTCCCCGAGCCTCATGAACTCGCCTCGGTTGCTCTACTTATCTTCAGAATAAGTAAATTAATTGGCGTGGGAAGGCACTGAAAGTGCGTTGATGTCCTCCTTGATTTGACTTTTTGACGTTGTAGTGGAAGGTTCTTTCTAATATCTCCACTTGTTCATCCATAGATTCGGATGGATGGTTCGCAGCAGGCGCCAAGTTGTTCACAATACGAGCAAAATGATTCCCTGACCTCCGTATGCCTTCGTCACATTCGTGAAAGGTGAGACTTGAGTTTTCGTGCAAATGCGCCTTTTGATGGGAAATTATGTCTTAATGGTCCTGTCTAAATTGAGTTAATAATGCGTTTTGAGTTTCAATCATTTTTCAGCATATTTGATTTGATAGTGATGTTCAGGATCGGCTGTAATGGTCATGCCAAATGCACAAACTTACTTTTCCAACCTCTTTCACGCTATCATATCTTGACTACGCCGGAATACAATTTTTAAAATTTTGGCCACATCTACGATATGTGGCGGTTTTTAGTACTTAGCTTATTGCTAAGGCCGTATTAAAATGCCTCCTTCGATGGCATAGGTAGCTTATTGAGTCATTTGAATGGGAAGTCCTGTCTTGATCGCTGCACGACGTCTACAAATTAGGTCGACTGCATTCTAGGATTATCACATTTGGGACTCAATCTTTTTAATGCCGCCAACATGCTTGCCATTCCTTTAAAGATTCCGCCTGTTTATTAATCCCTTTTTCACCGTCAGCGATCTAATCATCAATCTGAATTCCTTTTTTAGGAACTTCCTGGCTTAACATTTCTGTGCTCTTTTCTTATTTTCTCGAACTGCTTATTTTGCACATACATGGTGAGCATTAAAGCCTGAAGGTCTCAACGATACGTTGTAAGCAGATCTGTATGGAGGAAAAGAGGATGTAAAAACAAGCGCAGTCTAGAGTGCATTCGGCTCCCTGCGACTATATCGATTAAGGCGGACAAGGCGACTAGCTTTTTTGGTTGGTATTGGCACTCCTACGCTAAATGTATTAGGGGATATGAGGCTGCGTAGGCATATTTGGCAGGCCGGCCGGCCGGTGTTGCTACTACCCATCGGTGTCATTCAGAGGCTCCACATGACCTCGTTCTCAGTCAACGCGAGCGTTCACTCCCTCAGTTTTAAGCAACACAAACGCGCGTATCCGTCCAACAGCGCGTCTGCGAAAAGCAGGCGGCTGCGCGACTCCTCACTCGCTAGCCAACTTGCGGGCTCTCTCTCCTTCCTTGGTCTAGCGTTCGGTCTCGTCTCGCATTCAGACCACACGTGCCGGTTCCTGGACGCGTTTCATTCACATTGCCCTCTACCCTCGCTCTCTGTGATTGTGTGTGCTTGTACACGTGTCGTACCGGTGCTTGATTGCGTAATGCCTTGCAGCATTTTAAATTCCTCTGCTCCCGTCAGGCCCGTTTTTCATTTTTCTGGCGTTCAACACCTCACCTTATTGGGTTGATAAGAGCCAAAATTGTTCTCTTCAAGTCTTTAAAGTCTACATTCTTATAAATGAGCGGGTCTATAATTCAGACCGCACGAACTAACCCGGAGCTGTAGTGACTTAACTTTGTCAGTTCGATTCTCCAGCTAGTAATGCGCTAGCTCTATTGAGCTCTGATGTTCTGTGCTAAATCTGAACTTTCCACCAGATGCTTCCTTACCTTCATGAACTCTCTTCACTTGACTGACAACTATCAAATCTGCGTTCCAATCATTGAACATTTCTTGGAACTTTGTTGAAACGCAATCGCCGGAGTGCAGTGCTGAACTCTTTGGACTCTAAAATCAAATATGCTTGCGTACCATAGGTTATTATTTCAAGCCGATTTAATTGTGCTGAGCCTCAGTAAAGGGTATTTTAATTGAAACAGAATAAGTTGCCTCGTTTTTACACCTTCATCTCTTCGCAGATGCACTTCTGCTGCCCATTTTTGTGTGTGCATAATCGGGGCGAGTGTGTATTCGCTTTCCCGGTGTATATCACGAAGTTATATATTCGGAATTCCGGCTCAAAATGTAGTTATTTTGCCTCAGATGTTAATTTCGATCGTTTAGCTGTCTTCTCTTTCCTCAAAGTGAACCACGCATTGTAATCCCGTGTTCAGTGTCACATCACAGGAATCAGCAGGAACTCGTGAAGGAAATGTATCACCGAAGTTTTTCTTCCATTTTTGATCTCGGATCTGTATTGTTTCTAATTCACCACTTTAATAGTCATAGCTTGAAGGCCAATTTCCATAAGATACGTAAACGAGAAAAAACCTTGCATTTGGCGCACAGAACGATTTCTCCCGTTTGTCGTCTTGCTTAGTTGAATCAAAGTTGCAGTCATAGTTGATTAGGCTGGTTGTAATCACTGAATTGGAGCTGATCTCACGACTCTTTACTTCATCAGGCTTCTAAGTTAAACACGGAGGGTGTGCTAAGGCCTAAGAGTACCAAAAATAACTCGTACGATGCGGATGACGTGACAAAAACAACCATAGCTTCCATTGATTTGATAAGAAAGTCATTGGTCTGTCATAAAATATCCTAAGTTACGATGAAGTGGCAACGAAATTCCACACAATACATCTTCGGTCGGAACTCTTCAAATTCACACAATTAAATCCTTCTTCATAAGCAAACATCGCTGCCTTTGGTTATCCTATCTAGAATCATTCCAGATAATGGACTGTGTAATAGTGAAAATGTCTTTCAAAATGTGCATTTGATTTCGTTGTTCGTCGTCTTTGTCAACTGAGTCAGCAGTAATGATTCGTCTAAACGGCGCTGAAACGGATTACTTAAAACTCACTTCCCAAAACGTCTGTAAGTTCTAAAAGCTAAAACCCCTACTTCTCTGCGATTATTCCACCGGTGTTTTTTGCGTCTACCAGTCCTCAAAACTACTCTAATCCTAATTATACAAACGACTAATTATCCAGCTGTTCATTTGCATACCTCAGGACCTCAGCTAAAAATGACCCTTCAGTTCAGAGACCATGCCAACGGATCAGTTCAATATTTTCCGGTTTAACTGTTTCCGCTTACGATATGCCAAGCATCATTGTTCTCCCATTGATAGGGGTACATTCACATTCTCCAGCATTTTTAATACTACACATTACCAACTGCTAAAGATCGCATTGGACGCGTGCTTTGGGTCTTTACCTGCTTAGTCTCTACGATCACCCTCTAGAGAGGTATTACCATGAGTCAAAAAAGGAGTCTTCAGTTTTGCAGCTTGCATCATATCTGCGTCTATGGAGATCCCACTGAAGAGCTTTTACCGTCGATTATCGCTGTTCGTTTTGACTACAAGAAGGAAGCTTCATCCTTGTCCGTGACAAGTTTTGAGCCAGTCGCCGTCTTTGTCTGCAAATGCTTTGTCGCAGTGTCTGGTTGGTGGTGTTTGGAATGTTCACCTGATTCGGTGAATTGACTGTTAACCCAAGACGCCTATTTAGCGCCCTTCCCCCTCTTGTCGCCAGACTGACCAATGTTCAGCTCGCAGACAACGTTAATGTCCTAACCACTCTCTCGCCAGGGGCTCATACCGAACTCGCATGCGCTTCTTGAGTCACCCCACCGACCAGCCAGTCTTGTCAACCGGACAACTTCGCACCGTCCGACAGCAAGATAGCTACGTGCTCCGCCACAGCTATTCTAACGTAAGCCATTCCCTTCCTCATACTCACTTTCCACCGCATTTTGTTGACTTTTCAGGTATCTACGGGTCACGATACCCGCAATCAGCATCGTCATCATCACATGTTGACGGAACGCCTCAGCTGCCGCGTGCACACCAGCGGTAGTGACGGGTAGGTGAACGCATCGGTCACTTGGGTGGGTGATCTTTCATATGTACCCTTCCCCCGCATATTTCCCTTGTGGACAGGGTGGTAAAACGGTGAATGTGTTACGATAACGCGATGGCTCTGAAGCACCGCAGCACCTACTTTGGAAACCGCATACACGCATACGCCACCAGCATAAACAATGTAGTGGGGGCTTGTGGGAGAGCTGAAGAGGGTGGGGTAGAAAGGGGAAGGTCGATGAACAAGTTCTCTGAGCCTAGCCAATGTTCGCCAGCTGGTAGGTAAGCATTTTGAAGCGTTTTTGGATGGGTCTAAAGGTCAAATGAGCGTATGCCATAATCTACGTGTATTTTCACTTAAAATTTAGGGATTCGTGCCAGCGGTTGTTTTGTCAATGAATTTTATTTATCCACGTATGAAACAACTTCTACACTTTTCCACCATTGCCGTTACGGCCCGCTGAACGTTTACTTGTGTCTGTGGGTGGATATTTTGTAGTTTAATTCTAAGCATTCAAAAGAGCCAGACGATTCAATCTTTGACTTGGAGTTTAGGTCATCTGAATTCACTAGTTGTGCATTTATAGCTAGATAAACGAGAGCACAAATTTGGCGAACGTCTTAAAAAACGGTGTAAACTGTTGGGTCGATTTTAGAGTTCAGTGGTTGTTGCACTTTAGAAGATCTAAAGTTTAGGCAGTCTTCATTGGATGGTTGACCCCATTCTTCTAGGGCTATATCATTGTCTAATTTTCTGCAAATAAAAAATATTTGCCTCTCAGTTTGCTCATTAACTACAAACGCATCCTTACTTCGGGAGATTGGCAACTTGCAGCCAGAGCATGAAAAAATTAAAAGACAAAATTTTAATTGTGTTTAGTGATTATTTTATTGCAGTGGCAAGGATGAACCGTAAATGTGGGTGGTTTCGTCTAACAACGGCTTCAATTCAGGTGATATGCCTTGCCTTTTCAGTCGTCTCTGCTTGAGATTTACCCACGCTTATAAGAGTATGTTCAAATTGCTACCGCCACTTATTCACAGGGGGAGAAAATTCATCTATCCATCGGCTCGCGTACTTATCACAAGGACGCTGGTATTTACCAGACTATGATTTCACCATAGATATCAGTTGGCTTTTAAGTAGCAAATTAGGCGTAGGTGCGCCTAGATGCTGTTTCGTTGTGGTTGATAAAGGGGAATTGAAAGCTGTAAGCGTAGAAATCATTGTCTTGTAGACATTTTGAGCCGTCCCCGTAGCTACGCTGCCATGCTGGGGTGTAGGGTTATTTAATCTCGACGTAAGAAGAAGGGCTGCGAGGCTGCAGGTATGGCCGAAAAAGCATACTACAACAGTGGAGGTTTTTACGAAGGAGATTCAATTCCTTGACTATTTAAGTTGAAAACTAAGTCAGGAAATTGTGCTAGCCTCCGAACTCTGTAGGAATTGCGTTTTACTAGGGTCTCTACTGAAAGCCTATCCACGTTTTTGAAAGGGAGGACTTTTAACCGCACTTTATAATTGTCCGTAGGGGAAAAATTTATCTACTGATCCAATGGGGTTTGGTTTGCTGCAGGTACCCTCCCTCAGGATCTCAGAAGAAACCGATCAGCGCAACTCAAGTGTTTATCTTCCTGAAAAGCATCTAATAATCCCTAGTTTTATAGCAGTATTAGAATTGGTAAGCAACTTTACCCTCGGATCAAGAATATCTTCCGCTGTACGATTGTCCGTGATCAGGTATTGTTTGAACTGATAGAGAAAACGCTATACATTAATGACGTTCGGCTAAGAAGTGGAAGCTTCATATACCCGTGGGTTGGTAGTGCGCATATTAACCTCTCGTTACGGGATCAACGTAATTACCGAGTCAAAAGTAAAAATTTGAAGAATTATGAGACCAGATCATGCTTTTTTTGATCGTCGTGCATCATATTTAAGTGGGTCCATCTATCGAGAATTTATGTAGCAATTTATCTGTCAATGTATTCACAAATGATGGATTTGATTATTTGCCTGATCGAACTCCATGATTATGAAGTAGTCGTTAAAACGGCAGATAGTTGTAGAAACTATCAGGCTATGATTTTACAACAGCAAAAAAATTCTATTCCTTCCATCAATTGTTTGCTTTGCCAAAAAACGAAGAGCTTAAGTTTTGAGTGGTTATAGTTGGATTTAATGGCAGCCTCAACTCAAGATGGAGCATTTAATTTGGAAGATCGGGGCGAATTTGATTTCTGAATTGGGCAGACACCATGATACATTCGACTGGCTGCGTGTTGCATCCTGATTGATGCACTTATTTCGTTCAGCTAAACTGTTTCTCAGGCTGAAAATGTGTTGCAGGAAAAAAATAATAGCATTCAAGAATATTTGAAGGAGTAAACAAGATTTGTTTATTAAGAGGTGATCCATAGTCGTCAATCGTGAATTTTACACCTGGTTTTTTCACTTAGTGATGTATTTGATGCTCTGGTTTGTTTTGCAGGTTCTTTGAGTGACTTAGAAATGAGTCATGAACAAGCATTTTGTTGTTGAGTAAATGTTGGTAGACTTTAACATGTCTGAAGCCGATAAGTGCGAGAGTGGGGTTTCTTTCCTGCTCTGTTTGGGCCTTTAAAAATGATTTGAGCCATCTCCTGTTAGTGCTGCAAAGCTGCAAATTTCCAATTTCCACCCAGGCTTCAATAAAGTTTGTTGTATGTTAGCTGGTTCTTGCGACTTCGCTATGTAAAGCGGCAAAACCTTATTTTCCCAGCATTCCTTCGGGTTCTGTTTTTACCTGGCTTTCGAATTACGCATTCACCTCTGCGTTTAATTCGCAAGACAACAGAGGTCGTCTGTTGGCGTTCAACTAGTGGCCTAGTCAAGATTTGCCTTGTATCAACATCAAACCCTCCTGTAGCATTACAAGTAGACTTTTTTTGCTCCCTGAAGATTGTTGGTTTTCATAATTTTGTGGGTCATTAAAAATCTAAGATTTTAAAAGAATTTCACTGTAAATGTATCCGAGTCTGGACTCTACTCTAGGATTGAATTTCCGTGCGGGATCACGGAACTGTCTCTGTGACTTTGATGCTGTAACCGAGACAGGATTTTAAAGGAATACAAGACATTTTGGTGACAAAAGCTATTTGCCTCGCTTAATCAGAAGTTTCGTAACTCCTGTAATCAACTTTGACCCCTAGGATCATCATGGATATAAATCTACGCTAGGAATGAGCTACCGATGAACACATTTTAGCCGCTATTTACTTTGGTCGTTTTTGTACAATCGCTGAAGTGCTGTGCGTTGCTGCTAATGGGATACTTGCCTTGCATTGAGACCCTTCATTTTTCTTGCTGAACAACCCCATTGAATGTTGATTTCCAGCACGCCACAGAAGTTTCATCAGATGTGTTGGAAGGCCATCACTCTCAGTTGATGTGTCCTTCATTTCGGATATTTTGAAGGCGGCATTCATATCGTATTTTGATTTCAGACTTGATTCACCTTTAAAAAAACAACCTTATTTGATAATTTCCCGTACCTTTAAACTACTAAAAAATGATTCGTAATGTTGTGGTTGTAACTTGAAATTAAATGTTTGCCTAACGTTTGCATGTGTTTCCTCCTCTACCCTTTAGTTGCTCTCCTGGCACTTTTCTTCTACCCGAACTTTTTTCGTGCATATTCAAAAATCGGGTTGGGGGTTGATTCCGCGTTTCTCATATTTGTAGTTGAAACATCGCATGTAACATACCAGCCCTGATGAACGGCTCGTCTAGTTGGAAAATGAATCTTTGCCCACATTGCCTGTTGTATGGGGGAACGCTTTTGCCTCTTGCCCGCTTATGAGGTGACTAATCAGTAGAGGGCAAAAGCAGTTTACCAGACGTATCGTAACGCGCTCAAATTCTGCCCCTATTTTCGACACCTTTTCTGCTGCTTGAACAGTGTTTGAAATGACAATCGAATAAGTGTCGAATGCCTGGAAGACGCAGTGGTAGTGGTCGGCTGATGCAAGATGATCCAGCGAATGCGGTGGTTGCACTTTGAGGAAAAGTTCACTTAGTTTGTCTCTACCGCTCACTCATTACTGAAGTCAACTTGTACTGCATACGCAAGTGAGGTGCACTCGTCTGAAGATCTCCTTTGCACTCTCTCGGTACGCACTCTAAGGCCACGACCTAACAATTTTTTCACGGTGGACAGGCACTGGCGACTAGCATGAGAATCGTGCCTCCCGTTCCCCTTTTGGCGCGTGAGACTGTGCCTCGGTTTGGTGCGCACCAGTCCTCTTCCCCCATTTTGGTGTTTTCCCAACATTAAGGCTGAAAATTGAACTGTTTGTATGTTGTCTCCTGGGACGATGAGAACCAACTCCTGCCTTTTATCGGCGCATCTGTGCAGCTACGCCATACCGGTGTGAAATACTTTTTTTTTAGCCCATAGTCTGTGGATCTCGTGTTACTATAAATTACCCAGCCGCAGACTATCCCACTGACTCGTTTGTCAACCGGACAGGCTGTATCTAACATTCAAAACGGCTACTTGAATTCCAGGGTGAATGAGGGATTCGAGTTACACGAAGATATCCCATTTAACGCTTCTTTTCTAACGACAAAATCTTAATTTTTTCGTGCGTTTTTGTTCCGTCATGATTTTACATCTCAGTGAGACAAAACACTGCACAGCAATTGATTCTCAACTTCATTTGCCACGCTACTTTTTAGTCTAGTCTCTTAAACTTTAAGAAAAAATTATTTACCTTCCACTGTCGTTGTGCTAGTGATTAACTCCAAGTCAACCTCTCTATTGGACAACTATGCACCTTCCAGAAAGTGTTTACTTTTTCATCCTAGTGATTTATTCTTTATCAAAAGCGAAACAAAACACTTTATTGTGTAAATTTGGTCACTTAGATTGAAAATGATTTCCCCTGACTTTTCACTCTTGAAAGTGTAGAGCCGGTATCAACCATGCTTCTAGCCACACGTCCTCAATTTGACATAAAAAGGCTTTTCTATTTAAAAAGATTTCAAGATATCCTACTTAACGTGAATGGCCGCACTAGGATCTTTAGCATTGGAATTTTATTAGCTATTACCCACACTGCCATACCCATTTATCTCACTATCTTACTTAACGAAGTTTTATTTGTCTGCTTCCTCGACTCCTGGCACCAGACAAAGGAGCATTTGAGATTCGAAGGACTTTACATCTACTTCTTCTGCTCTATTTTTTATGGAAATAACATCCAAGCTTTCAGACAAAGCCGCCAATCATCACTAACAGTTGAGTGTGCATTTACAATCTCAAATGTGAAAATTAATTCCATTAACTCATATTTGGCTAGATGGCTTATTCATTTCACTAGAAATCTTCCACTTTTGCTTCCTCACCCCTAACTACTTCATTTCTTACAAAATATTCTTACGTAATTGGTTACCACGAGTTTTGACTAACTGCTGTGGCCATGATTGCTGCATGGAGTAGCGGGAGGCTGGCCCACTATCTTTATTGGTCCATTCCAGAATGTGGTTGATCACCCTCCTGTACTTTTTAGAACCGACCAACAAGTCCCCATTATGGTTGCTCTATCTCCTTTACCACTGGACTATCTTCCTTGCTCCGCGGAGAGTGAGGCAAAACTGGAAGTGGATGTGGAGGCAGGGGGCGAGGAGCACAATGCTGCCATCACCACTACCAGCGTCAGCAGCAATAGAAGCGGCGCCACCTCGCCATCACCTCCACCGCTCCCACTGTCTTTCCCAAACTCAGCACCAGTGGCGCCGCATCGATTTATGCGCTCGCGACTGGCTAACAGCTGGTCCACCTCCCCCGGTCTGCTCTCCGCCTCATCTTCTTCCCAAGGTCAGTTTTTCTCTACCTCACTTTCATATTTTCTTTGCTATTATTAAGACTAGAAGTTTAATTTGGTGTACTTCGAAGATGCCGGAAAGCTGGGTTGCATGAAATGAAATCCCGAGTCCCCTTAACCAGAACTAAGCTCGAGACTCGATACCTGTAAGGTCATTTGTCATCTGCCTTACTTCCTTTTGGTCATTTGTCGCGATCAGATAAAATCTTATTTTTCGACTGTTCTCCTATGGCATTGGCGAGAATAAGGGTGGTTTGATTAGCTGGTATTGTTAGTCCCCTTTTTCATAAATTTATTCTCTCTTCCTGTTTCATGCTTGTCATTTGTTACTGCTGTAGGTTTTGCAAGTGAATTGATTGATTATTTTTGATAATTCTGATTGGCTGTTGCCAACCTTTTTTCCTATTTATATGCACAGTTATTTCTCCTCACACTTGTTCTGTGTGTGGGTGGGATTTGATCTTACATGTCTACTTGATGTGCTGAAAACCTCCCAGTCTATCAAAAGGCATCAAAATCTGTTCACTTTGTCCCCGTTATACTTTTAGACTGGTTTTAAATTTCAAGAACATCTTTCCAGCGGTTTAGATACGCTATTTTTCTTTCAGCCAAACCTTTTTGATAAAAGGAGAATTACTGTAGTTTCAACTCAATTCACCCGTTAAAGTCTGCCATATCTAAATGTTACTACTTCAGGAAATTTACAGACCTAGGGTGTCTCATTGATTGGTTTTTTAGTTAAATGCTCTATGAAAACTTCTCGGCTCCTTCAGGGTTGTAGCCGAGACTTTGTTCCATTAATCTCTTGTAAAGGCATCCAGCAAAAATTATGTCAAAACTGCATTCATTCGGAGGCCTTAGTAGCTTATGACGCCCGGTTTTGCTATTGCCAACTGCTGATAAGTGAAGAAGTTCGATGACGTTGATCTTCAAGCGCGCATAATCATTAAACCGCCTTCAGCTCATCCCTTTGTTTACCTCGAAGGGCAATTTGTACCGTCTAACGGGATTCCAAGGTTTTTACAGTTTCAGGCATCACGCAACAGTTGTTTGGTGACAAATTTCCAACTTTACCCACTTTGGCAATCTTAGTATCTCTCCTAAACATTATTGAATCATTCTGTGGTTGATTGTAGCTACTATGCTTTTCACCGCGTCACTAGTGACGTTTTTGCCTTTTAAAGGGAGGGCTGTAAATACTTCCTCCTCTCAATTACTCTACCGCAGAATACGCCTTTCATATCAAATGAGTGTCAGTTCCCAAATTTAAGCAATAACACACCGGTCTTAATGCGTTTTCGATGGATGAAGAACAGCTCTGCCGAAAATTTACGACCTCTGGTCGCGAAATTGCCTTAATAAAGTGCATTTATTCACGCACAAAGCCATTGAACGGAACCCGTGGGCGACGATTAAGTATTGACACAATTTGTATGTCGGCAGCAGAGGCTTTCTACAGCGTTTTCTGATTTATCTGTTCAGTTACGAGAGAAACGTAGATTAACAACAGCCGCCAATGCTCTTTACTTTTAATACCAATGCAATTTTTCGAAGCCGGTCTCCACGGTGGATGGGTTTCTGTCAACACAGGAAAGCATTCCAGTTCTATTAACTCAGCCCATCTCTCCTATGCGCTACCCACTTTGTCATCTAGATCTTCGGGAATGAAACCTGTCTGCAGTGTTGTTTTAATTTTTGAAGTTATATCACCTTCGAGGCGGTGACAGTGTCCGTCCTAACAAGGTGTTCAGTAGTGACCTCAGCTGTAACACGACGGCACTCTTACTTCTTTTTCTCCGCTACTTTGGCTAACCAGCTCTCATTTAACCGCTCACCTCAACGATTCGTATATTGCAGCACGTAATGCCCAAATGGCGGTCACCACTTGCCCACAGAATTGTTTTCCGTATTTGTTTGTTATTTAAATTATACACTTAATTTTTTCTTCAACCCCTTAGGTGTTCGGATGATAGCGCCCTGTGCTCGCGCCTCTTCGGAGTGCCGCCACTGTGACAGCGGTGGTGGTCGAGGGCAGCAGTGGCAGCACGAAGTGCGCCAGCCATTGCTGGTAGGTGTGACGTGTAGCGTTCCGTGGGACGCCGCAGCAACGGGTGAGAAACCGCGCACTGGTCGTCTCTACTTATCTCGTGAGGAGATTCAAGTGGCTGCTCTTAAGGCTGCTACCACTGTCCCCCTCTCCTCACTCCCCTCTGCTGGGCCTTTCTCCTGTTCCAGCTCATTCTCCGGGCGGGACGATGACGATGACATCGATAATTTGGCTACTTCTGGTGCGTTAATTTTCTTGTCCTCCATTAAACATGGAAACTTGGCCTAAGACTTGATAAAATAATCCATCTCGACATCCAAAATGATTTAGTTTGGATTTTTATCCGCTTTTGAAAATTGCCTAATACAACGATCTCTCAAGTTTCTTCTTTGGTGGGTATCAATTGCTCTGCAGCGGTACGTGGAATTGTGTGATTTCAAATGGGTTTTCGACGATTTTGCAAGCCAAATTATGGTGGTGGAGTTACTTGGAATCTCCCAACTTTCATCCCTATTGAAATAGCGTTCTTGACCATGTTTAAATGCAAGAAGTGAATGTTTTAGATTAAATGTTGCGACAATGACATTTAAAGGAATGTGGTCTTTGTGGAGATGGGCCCTTCTTCAGTCTGTCTATATTAACCAAAGGTGGGGAAATATCAAATATGCTGGTAAATTTTGCACTAGAGCACAAGTCCTTTGATTTAATCCACGTGTAGGGTAACCGGGATGCTTGATAGTTCAACGAATTAAAAACATTCCCCTGGTGCATACTTGGCTGGTGTATGAACTCTGTCGCTAATTAATGTTACTAGAGACTTGATAAGGAATGCTGTCTATTTCGACTGATTGATTGGTAAAGTGCTCAATAATGATTTGGGTGGTGCCCCATATTTGTCCCTCAAAATAAACGCCAGTAGTGGAGTTTATTCGATCCTCATTACTTGACTATCCCTTTAAAAACCACAGCCAGGAGTTTTAATAATTAGACTGAGCTATGTAGATTAAGCCAACGTTTTATATCTATTCTGTGAAACTACCTTTGACGTAGACTAAAACGGTACATGGAGGAGGACTGATTGAGTGCTGATGTTATGACGGGGGTGTGCTGCTCAAGTTCTTCAACTGATCGCGCATTGTCGTCAAGATCAGCTGCACTTCATTTAATAATTCTTTCTGCAAATGTTGATTGTGACGTTTTCGTACGCCCTTAACATTTCTCTTCCAATCAGTCTCACAGTGATTGTCGGACTTATGCAATTTCTAAGTAATAGTACTGATAGATAATGGAGACCGTCTTGACTCCCGAACTTCTGGACTTCTAAGCTGACATCGAGAGTCATTTTTAATAAAACGGTATGCGAATTTCATCCCAGTATCACATAAATATGACGCCCAGGCTTTCTTATCTGTGCCCATATCAAGGTTATGGTGGTTGGTTTTACCCGGAGGCCCAGTAGTGAACGTGCTAAATTAGATTTCTCCTGTTGTGGCGATGGCGGACATGGTAGTTGGCAATTTTAATGGCCAATTTTAAAAAAAAAACAATGAAATAACCAGTTGTGACTCGATTTGGAATATTTACTGGTTCCTTCTACGCAAACACCTGCCCGTATAAATATTCAAACTGTCACTATACTTTTGACTCTTCTCTATTGTAACCTCATCTCACTTGGTGGCTGCTCTTCCTCAAAAAGTGAGATTGTATCAACATGGAAGGGAGTCTACCGATCATTAACTTGGAGTTCATTCATGTCTGAGAATCTCTTTTAATGCTTTTTTGTCAGCTTATCAATTAGAAATCTCAAGCCATTTCATAATATTAAGTGGCAAAATAGCTTTGATCAAATACTTTTAGACTAATCAGTGCATCCTCTCAAACAGCTCCGTTAAAAGATTACCGTTTCCGAGTTTACAGCAAATCGACACTCGATTTCCTTTTTTCATCTGGTCATCCTTGACTCATCGCTTCTACATTTAGACAAACATTTTCCTTAAAAGCCCCGTAACAATTTGTTGGAGGTGAATGTGAATTTAGGGGATTTCATGAGGTTTTAATACCGCATCATTGAGCTGCACGCAAACATGATCCTAAAAACTATAATGCACCGCATATTCATAGATTGCTCGGTCTGGGAGACATAATCGATGTTTAAAGACCTAGAGATCACTTTTTGGGGTCCTCCGTCTCCCACAGAGGGGCGTGAGAATAAAGAGGTCACCAAAACAGTACACATTATTAAGGAACGTGGTGGTGTGTGATTAGTGTCCACGGTGCCTTGATTTTCCAACCAGTGGGAAATGCTGAACGTGCCACTCATGTTGATTTGTCTGTCTGCGGCTAAGTGGGCTGAGCTGGACTGGAATGAAATCGGGGCTAGGACGCAGTTTTCTCACCATTTACAACGGTTCTTCTTTTACTTCCCCAGGAGGGCACGAACAGACTTCGTTGAACTTTGCAGACGCAGCGTCGGCGACTCCGAGTCGCAGTTCACCAGCGCCCGCTTCTTTCCCTCTTCCTTCTGCTCCTCCATCAGCACGATAGTAAGCTGGTAGAGGTATCACACAGTTTAAAAATTTGCAGTGCTGGAGTGTGGCAGACGTGTGTTTTAGTTCGAATGATGCGAGTAACTTGAATAATGGTACTAAATCATGCCAGCGTACTTTTCCTCCTGTACGAAGCAGTTCTTAAGTTCTCGTCACAAGGTTGAGCTCTTCCGCCAAATGTCCACTAACCGTTTTGACAGCTTCTTTTTACTCCAGTTCATAGGGCCTGAGTTGATTTTTGTGAATCTATCAAATGTATGAGTCTATAAGTAGGAAATTGGAAGCATATTTATCCGAAGCTAAAATTGGATTTTACCTTTCCCTTTAGTTACGTCAACCTAGGGCCAGTTTCACCATCATCGCTTAGTGACGGCTCTTCTGTGCATCGCTTGGCGACGATGGCAACGGCAATAGCCTCCGTCTCCGAGTGCACTTCCTCTGCTACGGATTCCACCATCGCTGCTTCTTCGTCGGCGATTGAGTCGGTGTCCCCCTCGGCCAACTACCTCAGCTACACTCCTTACGTGCCCCTCTCGCGTCAACGCTCCAGTGGTAACGGTTGCGGCCGCGGTCGCATTCGCACCTTCAGCAGTGGTCAGCCTTCCGTCAGGTGGGTTCGACTCAGCTCTTCCTGCCTTCCTCCACCCTTTAAATCAATCCTAGAACTAAAATAAATCCTTATCTGGATGGTGTAAGCCGTGCCTGGTTGTTAACTGGTGAGTAAGATTAGTGCTATCTCATACGTAATACCAATTTTCATAATCATACTCCCCCTTAAAACAACAGTTTGGTAAAATATTCCTTTATGGCTTTCAAAACTTAAAATGTAAAGTATTAATTTTTATTTAGTGATCGTTTGAGACTGAGGTCTCTTTCACATCTCAATTTTTTCTTCCAACTGTAAAGCCCTTAGTTTGAAAGTTGAGTGCCTCTCTGCTACATCAATCCTAACGTTTTTTTTCCATGATGTTGTATTTTTACAACTTACGCATGGGGAATTTACATAAGGACTGACTTAATGACCAGTTCTTGTCATTTGCCTCCATTCCAAAAGTTACAAAGTGCCTGAGTTATCCTGGGGTTCATTTTGGAGCATGATAATGCAAACTGCTTTAATCTTGTAAATCTGAAAGGGCTATACGACAAGAAACATGGATGGCTGATCACAGCTCCAGGTCGACGGTGGAAGGGTCGGCTGGTAGTCGTCTTTCACGCGTCGGCGCATACCAGAAATGAACATTGTAATGCCGCACAGTCCCATCTAGTTTTAACCATTGCCATCGGTGCTTTTAGCAAAATCAGCTCTTACCAAATGCATTGAAAGTACCTTAGAATGAGTTCCCACTTCTCATTACGGCAAATAAGTATGATTAAGGGCACACTTATCATATGTAAACTGTTTGTAAAAAATTTGTTTATTATTAGGGCAATCCCCTTTGCCTTTTTTTCATTTGCCAAATTCGCGTTCTGTTCAGACATGGAGAAGTCGAACTTCTAAGCCGATCTAGCTTTACTACCACTACTTGTCATCTACGACGATCCGCTACCAATTGTTCAATCAATACAGCTCCGCATAAAGTCTACCGGATGATCCAAATCTGGTACTTGCGCACCTTCATGAGGCCGTTGTGTATCTACAGTTCTTTCTTCTTTTCTCGAAGGCGAAATCCCCTACTGCTAACTCGTCAGGCAATCTACGACAGATCTCAGCAGTCTCCTCGTCTTCCTACACAGCCCCTCGGCAGCCTGCCTCGGACCACATCCCATACCGGGCTGATCTCACCCCCCACCGACGTGTCTGACGCCTCCAAGTTGGCTAGTCTGCAGACACAGGGGTGAGTGGTTGACCTTTGCTTGGGAGTCTGTGGTTTTATTCACAACCCTATGCTTGATGAAATGCCATTTATGACCCGAGTCATGTTTATTTTCTTCCAGTGAATTAATGAGTGAATGAACGACTCAATGATTTAGTAAGTGAGTTCACCCTATCAAATATCTCTTCAATGGTTTATTTGAGTTTCTGCTCCTAACATCATGTGGTGATACCGGATTCACTGATAATCATTTCGACAATTTCTTTTTTCACGTTCTTGTTTCATATCCAAAATCCTGCTTTGATTGGTTGCGGTGGAATAAGTTGTCATCAAGAGCCGACTTCGCTCTGTCTTCTCCATTGTATTTCCAGGATTCGTGTTCTTCACATTACCTTCCGATTTCACTGTAGACCTCCGTTAAGGGGCTAGAAAAGTCGCAAATGCTGTAGCATAGGTCCCAAATCGCCTTTGTGGAAAAGGTAGGGCACAGGAGCTTTAAAGTGGTTTAATTACAAGTGCTCGAAGGACCTTACGGACTAGTAGTAGTATGATGTGTAAAAGGAGTCAAATAGCATCACTGCGGATGAACATGTACTGAGAGTTCGGTTATGTGAATTAGCGGGTGTCTAATTAAGGGAAAGTGAACTAATGTGTCGCCAAACGAGAGGAAAGCATGTGTTCAGCTCTAAAACGTGGGAAAGCGCCAGATCTTGCAGTTTTAATCGGTAATGACAGCTGAGATGAGATTTGTTTTAAGGATTTTTTTCTTTTCGAAGTTTAAAATCTTGTCGCTGACCACATAGATAAGTAAACTTACCACTATCATTTAATTTTTCTGCTGAGAATTTATTATCGTTTTCTCTTGCCCTAATTTTTCGCTTTGTTATGGTCTCAGCATGCGTTGTCTGTTGAAGAGGAACGCTTAGAGGGCGTTTATGAGTCAGAGGAGTCTTAAAATAGGTTTATTATTAGGCGTTAAGGTAGGTCAGGCGACTAGCAACGAAAGCGCCTCAAACAAAACGCCCCATTTTACCATCTAATCACAAGACATCGCTGGTAGGGGACGCCGAATGAATGACTAGCAGTATAAGAGATTGAGTGAACGAATACAAGTAATCGCTTATGTGTATGCCTGACTAATCTAGACAAGAATTTCGAGGAAATGAGTGCACCCCTTAAACTCTCTTCTAACGTTGCTAGTACCCACTCTTCCTCCCCTTCTCTCCCTCCACCTATGATGATGCGGCGGTAGGCCGCACGGGCCACCCGGACAGCTCCGAGACGATTCCGACAGCCCGGCGGTCCATCATTCCACTGAGGCTATTTCCTTCTCTGAAGCAGTAGTGGTGAACCGTGGTGTCAGCAACGGCAGCAGCAGCACTGTCGGCGAGCCGCGGTCCAACTACGTAGCCATCGATGTTGTTGAGACCCTCGCGCCCTCTTGCCTAATGCAACGCATGCCTTCTGCAGGCCAGTACAACACTGACGCTTCCAATATCAGCAATAGCAATAGCAACAGCAACAGTGTCAGTCACCATACTACTAACAGCTCTGTCTATACAGATCAATGCTCGCCAAAAGTCGTTTGATTGTATGAAGTGCTTTACTTTGGCACATTAGCAGGGAATGTGTGCTGCGTATATTTCTGATGTATTTAACCAAATTTTTGCTTAGGTAGTGCAGTAGGTTACACCTCACCTGGCTCTCACCCTATCCGGGTCGCCGTCTATTTATTGCACTCCCGAACTGACCATCACAGAAATTCCGGTTGCGTTGCATTTTATGTTAAGTTGAAGTGTATTTGAAGGTTATTTTGGAAATTGGATCTAGGGTTCTTTGGTGCTCCGTAACAAGTGGTATTTGAGAAGGTTCATGCGAAAAAAAGTTTTCATAAAACCGTTCTTGATTTTTCTTAACTTAGAAGTCAGGAAGAGTTCAAGTTCTTATGGGCAGGACATACGTATTTGTAAATATTTCTATTTTTATTGTAGAGAGGATATATAAGGTGCAATTTTTGATGTACGTAATTGGTGAGGGAGCTGTGAGTTAAAATGCAGGCGTGGACGTGTGTTACATCTATCTCTTTATTTTTAGCGTTGTCATCAAGTGACTCCTGGCTGTTGTACTGACCACCGAAGTACATTAAAACTAGTTGCAGGCGAAATCGAAACCAATGTATTTGATCCATGTTTAAAAGATAGAACTTTGGATTTCAATACTATAACAGTAGAATTGAAGCATTATTTGGGGAATAGTTCTAAACAAAATGAAGTTGCTGCTATCAAGGGTATTTTGCATTTGATTTCCCCTTTGAATGAACCTTCGATTCAGAGCAAAGTCTCTTCGACTAACGACGGGACTTGCGTGCATTTTCGCCCTTCTTTTAATCATTTAGACATATTTCTTTGAGTTGTTTTCAGCTTCTTATGAGGCATAATGTTAGGTTCTGAAAATCTCTTAACTGTCTACTGTCCTTCGTGAATCACTCCTGCCAATGTGTTTTTTGGCCCAGATATTAGGGTCGTGTCGTATTACGCGTTAAGCAGTTGGCAGTGGTCGAGCTTTATACGATTGTTATAAGGTTTCAAGGCTTTAGTCCATTTTACTGCTTATATCTCGCCCTCTTGGCTGCCATGGCACCGTTGTCTAACATTGACCATTGTTTTGTGGCATCTGTACCACCTCTGAGGACCTAAAATACATACCGCTATAGTATTAACTTCTTTTGTGATCGTTTTTAAGGGCTGGAGGACCAGTAGCAAGGCTCTATACACAGGTATAGAGGCTGATTTGCAGGCTACAAAAAGATTAAATGAAATTCCGTTTAGTAGGTGCTCTTTACTATGGTATTTGTCAGGTATATTGTGATCGTCTGCAGGACAAAAGTGGGGACTGCGTGAGGAGTTTTCTCTAGCATGAGGAAATTTTCGCCTCAACAATAAGTGTAATTGGCTGAGGGAAGGCTTTTTACAGGAAGTTTTAATCAAAGGTAGAACCACATCAACTGGCTTTGTAGATCTACTGCTTCCCTCCATTTCCTATACAGCCTAATAGTCCACCTGAGCTGCTCATGGTCTAATGCAACGTCAAAAGGTGTAAAAAAATCAAACAGACCTTTTTTATTTAAATGCGTTGCGTCAAAATTAAAAGTGGAAAGATGATTAAATTTAACTTGATTAAATCTCGCTTCGCTCAGTTCCTGCTTATAGGCGCCATATTTAATGTTGAAGTGGACGCAAAGGGTCGACACACTTCCAATAACCATCTTCAAATGATTAATTACGGATGTCTTTCTGCTATACTTTAGGGAAGCGGACAACTGATGAGTATGGGTCAACTGTTTTGCTGTGGGTTTGCCCACACTGCCGCCAATTTGGTGCTCGAGTTGCCTTTGATGACGATTTATGAATTTTGTTTGTTAGACTAGACTAGGTGGCTTAGACAAGGCTCATGCCAGCGGTTTGTAAGCTGAATAGTAATAGACTGGAAATGACCATCCTGCAGAAGCCTTTGTCTT